TTTTTATTTGCTATGTTATTGAAAATTTAGCCTTGTAGAAAAATGTTAGGTACCTTTTTATTATAATAATTTATTTTTCTTCAATTACAATAATAATCCTTATATGAGGTTATATTTTGTTTTTGTTCAATACATTTAATATTTTTATTAAAAAATAGATTTTCTTTTGTTATGTTATTGAAAATTTGTATTAAGTTCAGCCTTGTTGAAAAATGTTATTTTAATAATTTTAATAATATTTTTCTTTAATTACAATAATAATTAGGTCATTTGAAGTAACTTTTTCCTAATAATTTTAACTTTAATAAATTAATAATAATAATAATAATAATAATAATAATAATTAATAATTAATAATTTAACAAATTTGCTGTGACAGATAAATATATTTTGGATTTGATCACCAACATCAACAAAATTATTCTGGATTGGGCGGAACTTGAGAAAAAATATCGTGAAAGGAAAATTGAAGTGAGTTAATTTCAATTTTTTTCACCTGTTGTATGATTTGATTGCACAATTCTCAATAAGCACATAACTTTATATCCATCGCCAGTGGTTTCTTAAATTTGTCTTTAAAACGTTTGTTATAACAAACTAAAAGAAATACTAGGGTTAATAATTAATAAATATTTATTTGAGACGTTTTTATTTATAATAAATACAGCAAATTTGCTATAAATCAATTTTATTTACAACAATATATTCTGAAATTTAATTTATTTTTTATAAAATTATTTTAATTTTTATAAAAAAACAGTTTACATGATTGATCACAGTGTTTTTCATAATACCCTGAAGGTATTCTTATAAATAAAGGTTTTATATTTTTAAATAAATATTTGTTTTATGATTAATTGCTTTTACTTACTTACCCTTTCCCCTTTCCTGGTATAATATAAATAATTTTATAGTAATCCCTAAAGAAATAGTAAAAAATATATAATAAAAATTGCCTTACTGCAAGTTATTTTTTCGCAGAATATAATAACAACATTTGTAATAGTGTACTAATAAGAATGTCAAGTACTTACTGAATCTTTTTGTCAAAATCAATTATTTTAATTATAGTTCAAGAATGTGACTAAATAAAAAGATTTATAATAATTAATATTATGTATGCTTCAGAAACTTTAAAGTTATATCTAATAGCTTTTATTATTATTGTAAAGTATTTTACACAGTGCTATACTAATACAAGTTACCGTTCTTAAATCTTGTAATTTTTATTAATAAAAACTGCAAATATTGTAGGAAATCCTGGTAAATGATGTGCTAGAATATCCTGGTAAAATAAGTCGTATATTCACTTTGTCACTATATGAGTCGGAAATCCTGGTAAATTGTGTCAGTATACTGGCAATTATTGTTAATTTTTTTTTCCGTGTGGTAATGATTTAAAATACTCACTAATATCTGAGCATGAGACTAATTTGATATGTGTTTTTCTTGATTAAAAACTGTAACACCTGAAACGTTTCGGGTGTTACAACTTTTTCATATGTCGATATATGTGTGTGTATTGCTTGAAGAATGCAATAAATATTTAAATTTCTTGCAATATTTTCTTGTAAAATTCACTTTTAATTTTAATTCGTGAAACGCACTCTATGGGTAAGAATTTCTAAAAAAAAAATTGAACCCACTGGCCGGAACTGTCCACACCAATGACTCCAGTATGTATTTATAACCGAAAGCGGATATATTTAACCCTATGTCAAATATATTCGGGGTCTAACTAATAAATTTTGACCGTATAAAGTCCGTTTTGCAAACTCGTTGAAGTTGACACATTGAAATATTAAACTAAAACCGGCTTTTACAGCCGCCCATCAAATAAACTATTCATTCAAGCACTTTATTTATCTGGAATGTTTTTTGATAAATTTGTAACGAAATGGCTTTCGCCATTTTTGTCAAAAAGTGTTTGTTGTTTAATAACAGGTTATAAAATTTAATTAAATGTTTACTGGCACTGAAATCAAATTAAATTGGCAATCTGCGATCAAAAGCTTGTAAAATTGTTTCATTATTTGTAATTAAGCAAGCTACAATAAACGGTTTCTTTCTGATGACAGTATCAAAAGGTAATAGATATTGTCATCGCGGTTAAATGCTTTGAAATGTTTTTTAATTGGTCCTGTTTTCGACTTCAAACGGAAAATGGCTTTTAATAACTTTTACAATGTCGAGAAATTAATGCAGTTGTCCGCTCAAATTGTTTGATTAAATAGTGCATTTTATAATTTTTTTTATTCCCACCTTTAAAACACCCATTATCGTACATGTTTCCATGACACTAAGTGACCTTTTAAATACACATTGACAAGTTGTGGCTTCATGGCACATTAGTCACGGGCTGAAGTTAGCAACATGTTTTTAGTCACGGGGTGAAGTTAGTTGACATCAGTCAAATGTAAAACTTTCGTTACTAAAATGGCGTTTACTTGCTAAAGTTGGCAATAGTGGCTTTTGGGCATTTTAGTCACGGGCTGAAGTAAGCTTTATTATAAATTAGGGAAAAGTGAGGTTAAATCCGTAAAAAATTGACAGATGACAAATGTTAAACAAGTAAAATTGTCTTTAAATTCTTCTTTGTGTTCGTCGTAGATAAAATATAATATGCAACTTTTTATAAACTTCTCCAATAAAATAGCGTTTTTAAAACTTGATACATAATATAATATTAATATTTTATAGTAAGATTTATAATATTAAAAAACCATAGATCTATTTACGTAAAATTATCCCTTTCTAAAACAAATTCCGTCCATCCCCAAACATTATTTTGTATAAGGGACCAATCTCAAAGATAAACAATAACACTGACAAATCACCCTGAGTCACTAAGTATCAATTTGATGATAAAGTCATTTATCCCCCTCGCAACATATTTATTTACCAAATCGCATTTGTCACCGGCCAGCCAAAGAGCATTTTATTGAACTCAAGAAGTAGTTAAATTAATGACTGCATAGTATCCCCTATTAATAAAACAACAACCCCTGAACAGGATATGGGGGTGAGTTGGCGCCAGAAACTTTGTGCGTGTACATTAATTATTCAAAAAATGATATTTAGTAGGCTTGCAAGGTATACTTTTCCAGGGGAATTGGGGATTTATCATGATGAAGTTCATTATTTATGGGGTTGCTATTAGTGTTGCAACTGACCTCTGCTTCTGCTTCCGCATTTTTATATCGGAAGCTTTTAATAAACAATTTTAATATACAAAAAATAAAAAAAAATTATTTTTATTTTTTGTAGTATTTAGACTTCCGCGCCGCATTACATCCGCATCTGTTCCCCTTTTGCAAAAATTTACTATTGAAATCTGTTTCCGCTTCTGCGTCTGTTATAACTACTTCCGTTGCCCAAAAAGCACAACTGGTTAAATTAAGGTTTATAACTTTATTTTGTAATAAGTGTGGAATTCAATTATGGTAAAATTATCGTAATAATTAACCGGTTTAAGTTTATAAACTATAATAGCATTGAGTAAAGAAGTACTCAATGATAATAGTATATTATGAATCAAGTTTGATAAACGCCATTTTATACACGAATTTAATTTAAGTTAATTAGTGTATAGAAAAGTTTATAAACGAGGTGCATACTTTACTTTTTCTACGACAAATACTTATTATTATCTTAAAATGATTTAAATCAAAAATTTGTATAGAGCGCCATCTATGAAACAACAGGGGAAACTGTCAAATGTCACATTTTTACATTTTATAAACACAATTATAAAGGTTATAAATCAAAATGTATTTCTTGAAAATTGACAGTTTTTCACAGTGAAAGTAAAGGAAATGTTTTATGAGGACTTTACAGTAGAGTCCGTGCCCGAATTTAAGTTATAGTTTACTGCCGGCGAAATTAAAAGGTCAGTACAATGTTCATATAAACTTTTCAAATATTGGCGTTGAGAAACTATTTAATACTTTTGTATTTTTGTATTAAGATAATAAACAAATTTTCACATTTAGTATTATTTTACAAGAAAGGCACTTTATTTTAACGATTGTATGACATTTGACAACTGTCAACTAACTTAAAACTAACTTCAGCCCGTGACTAAAAACCTGTTGCTAACTTCAGCCCGTGACTAAAGCGCCGTAAATCCACAACTTGTCAATGTGTATTTAAAAGGTCACTTAGTGTCATGGAAACATGTACGATAAAGGGCGTTTTAAAGGTGGGAGTAGAAAAAATATATAATATATAACTCTATACAGGGTGGGTAATTTAACTTGAAACTTTGAAATATCTCAGTATAAATTTTACGAAAAAATGTTTAAAACAAAAATTAAATGATTCGAGGGGGGAAATCAATCAGTACTAAAATTGGTCCTCCTTATAGGGAGAACAGGGGGTAACTTTAAAATTTACAATGGAACATTTTTATTATTATTATTATTATTGCATTATTGCATGCAGAATCGTATAAGAAGAAAAATCGAACAAAATTGATTTTTTTTCATTACAGCGCCATCTATTACAAATATGAAAAAATGTTTTAGACAAACTCTACCTATTTTTTTCCAAACAATTTAAAAGAAATTGTGTAAATTCACTTAACTTTCTTATGTTTTTTTTGTATGTAGTAAACATTTATCTACAATTTAAAAAAAAATTGTAACAATTGAAACATTTTTGGCCAAGTTGTCGCATTTTCAAGAAAAACCGATGTTTCTGACCATTTTTCAATAATTTCCTACGGGTGAACAAAACAAATATAAGCAAAAGAAAAAATATTGTCTCATCGATTTCGGTAGAGAACTGTAAAAAAAATTAGTTGCAAATAGCGACCTACCCCTCTATGCTTGGTCGATTTAATAATATGTATACTTTATAATTTTTTGAGGTGTTATCGTTTTCCTCTTCGAGTTTAAAAACTGAAATAACACAGGAAAATGATATTTTTTTATAATATCTTTCCTCAGCCTGTCTTAAAACAAGGGTATACTTAATTTCTAATGTCTTTTTTGTTGCAGGAGATGAAGGCAAGATCCTGGACGTGGACGCGGGCCACGGCCTGGTGCTGCAGCAGCAGTGGGTGACGATGACGGCGAGCATGTGGCCCGAGCCGACCGCATCGACGCGCGGGGGCGGCTGGAAATTGGCGGTGGGAGACCGTCTGCCGGTGCTGGCGGCGGTGTTCTGCGGCGCCGCGCTCGTCGTCTGCCTGCTGTGCGCCTTCGTGCTCTACAGGTGCTGCGTGATGCCGCGCAGAGAGAAGCACTACTGTGAGTACACCTTTACGTTTGCATTTATTTGTTATAACGAGTTTGTATGTGTTACAGGGTGAGTCATTTAACTTTAAACTTTGAAATATCTCAGTTAGTAGGTATGCATTTTACGAGAAAATGTTTAAATTAAATTAATCGAGGGGGGAAATCAAACAGGGGGTAACTTTAAAAGTTCCAATGGAACACCCTATTTTTTATTGCAGATTCGGATTATTCCACTAAAAATAGGTAGGTTTTGACTAAAACATTTTTTCATATTTCAATTTTGTTCGATTTTTCTTCTGTATACGATTCTGCAATAATTTTTCTATAAAAATATCACTTTTTTTGGTAATAATTATCTTATTAAATTAAATCTGATTTTTTTAAGTACCCACGATTTTTTAACTAAGATTTAAGTTTCCTTTGGTTTAAATTTTATACATTATTTCATTCGGTGATAATTATAATTATCAATTGCGCACCATGGTAAATTTTTACCTGCCAGCATTAAATCCTTTAATTTAAAGGATTATTGTACTATTTTTAATAAAAATACCTCATTTAAGGTAAAAAAACATTATTTTGTCAATTAATTAATTTAATCCTAATTGAGGTATAAAGAAACTATTTATAGTTTAGAATTATTTAATCAATTTAGTTCAAAGATTAATTTGCAAACAAAAAGACCTCATTTCGTTAAGCAGTTATTCATAATGGATTTTTTAACAGTGGAAGAAAAAATAGAAATGATTTTGATTTAAGGAGAAGCAGGCAGGAATATGATGCTGTTAATATCTACGCTACCTACTTTAATTAAAATTTATCGGAAAATCGTATACAGAAGAAAAATCGAACAAAATTGATTTTTTTTATTACAACGCCATCTATTACAAATATGAAAAAATGTTTTAGACAAAATCTACCTATTTTTAGTCGAATGATCCGACTCTACAATAAATTGGAAAGTTAGCCCCTATTCCCCCTATAAGGAGGAGAGTATGAGGACCAATTTTAGTACTGATTGATTTCCTCCTTCGAATCATTTAATTTTTATTTTAAACATTTTTTCGTAAAATGCATACTAACTGAAATATTTCAAAGTTTAAAGTTAAATAACTTTGTTTTTATGTTGTGGGTGTTTTTAAAAAATAAATCAGTAAAAATGTACGAAGGTAATTATTCTTCTATAGATATTGGCCTTTAATTTATTTCAGATTATTTGGCCAGCTCATAATGGGTTAAAATTAAGAAAATCAGAAATTATTTATATATAAAACTTAAGACCAATAAAGTTGTGATTCACTTTATTTTAGATTCTTCACAACTTGTGAAGAATCTAAAATAAAGTTGATCAAAAATCATTAAAAAGTCTTGGAGTACCTTAAAAACTATAAAAAAATATAACTAACAAAAAATGGAAAATAGAACATTTTAGATAACAAATAATATTGCTATACATATAGTATATTATGCAACTGTAGGCACGAGTGTAGCTTGCCTCACTCGCCATATTGAATTTAGTATGACGTAATAACCTTACCGTACATTGTCCTCCTGTTCTGAGATATGTTTAAAGTTTCAAGTCTCTAGGCTAGAGACTCGAGTCTAGATCTAGCTTATCGTAAAGTTATTTTTAAAATCTACTGCAACCGAGCAGACAGACAAGAAAGTTAGTTTTAAATCCTTAGGCAACGCGAAGACTACTTAACAAAACGTTTTGTTTACACATTACATACTGTCTAAAAATGATTTAGTCAAAAATGACTAATTTAATAGTTATTAGTGGCTGCTTTTTTACGTACCATATGGTACGTAAAAATATGGTTAACCATGGAATACCATTGTATCACAAAATTTAACAGTCAATTCTTATCTAAAATTGTCCCCTGAATCCGAAAATGTCGTCAAAAGTTAAAAAACAGTTTTTGAGATATAGTCAATTTTCCATTTAATATGGAATTGACTATATCTCAAAAACTGCTCCACTTTCATAATTTTCGGATTCAGGGGACAATTTTACATAAGAATTGGCTATTACATTTTGTGATACCATGGTATTCCATGGTTAACCATGGTACAAGTGAAAAAGCAGCCACTAATAACTATTAAATTACTCATTTTTGACTAATTCTCTTAGACAGTACAATTTATTTATAGTTTTTTCAGAAAAAAAATAAACCCGGCCTGTTTTGAATTAATGTAAAATAATAAAAAATGCAAAAGATTATTTGATCCATGGATCCTGCAGGATTAATAGAAATACCGTTAGGTATTAATAATTTTATATCTTATTTTGTCGAAAAAAGTTACCTAAATAAGAAGAGAGAAAAATATTTCACTGAATTATTTTTTACTAAAAGTAAAACACTTAATATGGAAAAGAGATTCAAAACTTATTATATTTAAAAAAAATACACTTAAAACTTAAATCCAACATGCCAAAACAAATTTTCATCGACCTGTTTAACACTTAGCCAGCCAAAGTTAACTTAAAGAGTGTCATTTAAAGTTTTATTTAACACGCCGTGATTTATGATGCGACTGATAAAAAGCGGCGTTTATATGGTAATATCGTTTTTAATTTCCCCTCTTGTCATTCGTTCGAAATTTTTCCAACACGTTCAAATTTATGTATGAATATTTGAAACGATGTTATAATTTTAATGGTTTTATGTGCTATGCAAATTTCTCCCTTGAGAATTTTTTATAACAAAACATAACCTTGTCAAAATGTAAAAAAATTAATTCTGTATATAATATGCAATATAACTCGATTTGTTGTACTTTTAGGCCTTCGCAAGGTAGATGGCGCCACAGCTGGGACGCAAGTACCCACTAACGTGGTATCTCCGGCGTATCCGACCCAAGCAGCTGTTTTTGCGGAACATAAGGGTACTTCATGGGGTTATAGCAATAGATTGGTAGCCCCTGCCCCTGTAAGTCCCTGGTACGTGAACAACGTTATAGGGGGCCCCCAGTGCACTCAATGCCCTGGAGTCTGCCCTGTACCCAGAAGCACGAGCAATCCTGGATCAAGCACTCATGTAGGAGGCGTCAAAAATAATTTTTCTGCATATTTTGAATGTTTTTTTTTTAGATTCAAGCCAGTACTCCAGTTAAGACTAATACCAACATAAGAAAACCAAGACCGGTTAGCCAGCCTATACCTACATATTTGATAAATAGTGGCGAAAGCGTTCCCAAAGGACATCTTCCAGAAATATCAGAGTTTTCCCCACAGAGTGCACAATATGCTTCTAGTAGTAGTAAGTTTATGACTTGATTGTGTTTCGGCACGTTTTACATTTAATTTGTTTTCTCTTGAACCAGTTAACATACAGCAATAAGAGACACATTTTTTATAGGAAATTGAACTCAGTACAAAAAAGCTTTCCTATGATTTTTGGATTAAATCACTGGTTTAAAAGTTATTTAAGGTTAAAGTTAAACTTATAGTAATTTTTTAACTTTGAATGCAAAATTATTATTATTTTTATGAAAATGAATTGTTTATTTTTGAAAACGTAAACATTATTGAAAAGAGACAAGTAAAAATTATTGACAAGAGATTCCGATAAATTAATTTTTTTTATTACATTAAACGAATCTGGTACTAGTTTTACCCAATTTACTTTAAAAAAAAATTTTTACATAATCTTTTTATTTATGTGAAGTTCTACAAAATTTTATACGATTTTATAAAACATTATACAATGAAAATTTTTTCCTTAATACAGTTAATGACAGAAATTCTTTTAAAAATTGTAAAATATTTTATAAAATCATACCTATACAATTTTGTAGAATTTCAAAGAAATAAAAAGATTATGTAAAATTTTATACGATTTTATAAAATATTATACAATAAAAAAAATTTCCTTAAGTACAACTAAAGACATAGAAATTCTTTTAAAAATTGTATAATATATTATAAAAACGTATAAAATTTTGTAGAATTTCACAGAAATAAAAAGATTATATTTACATTTTTACATTTTTTTATAGGAAATTGAACTCAGTACAAAAAAGCTTTCTTATGATTTTTGGATTAATTCACTGGTTTAAAAGTTATTTAAGGTTAAAGTTAAACTTATAGTAATTTTTTCGATTGTTTTTACTTTGAATGCAAAATTATTATTATTTTTTTGAAAATGAATTGTTTATTTTTGAAAAGAGACAAGTAAAAATTATTGACAAAAGATTCCGATAAATTAATTTTTTTTTATTACATTAAACGAATTTGGTACTAGTTTTACTCAATTTTAGTACGATTACTTAAAAAAAAAGTTTTTTTACATAATCTTTTTATTTCTGTGAAATTCTACAAAATTGTATACGATTTTATAAATTTATAATAATAATTTATAATATTTAAATATTATACAATGAAAATGTTTTCCTTAATACAGTTAATGACAGAAATTATTTTAAAAATTGTATAATATTTTATAAAATCGTATACAATTTTGTAGAATTTTACAGAAATAAAAAGATTATGTAAAATTGTATACGATTTTATAAAATATTATACAATAAAAAAAATTTCCTTAAGTACAACTAATGACAGAAATTCTTTTAAAAATTGTATATATATTATAAAAACGTATAAAATTTTGTAGAATTTCATAGAAATAAAAAGATTATGTAAAAAAGTAATCGTACTAAAATTGAGTAAAACTAGTACCAGATTCGTTTAATGTAATAAAATTTTTTTAATTTATCGGAATCTCTTGTCAATAATTATCACTTATCTCTTTTCAATATTTTTTGCTTTTTCAATAATACAACAAAATCACATATTTTCAAAAAAAAACAATTCATTTTCAAAGTAAAAAAATCGAAAAAATTACTATAAGTTTAACTTTAACCTTAAATAACTTTTAATTCAGTGAATGAATAAAAAAATCTTAAAAAAGCTTTTTTGTACAGCGTTCAATTTCCTATAATGAGTCGGATAATTTTGTTTAGGTCATTAACTAAAAATTTAGGCAAAATCGTTATAATCATGAAAATTTAAAAAATCAAATCTCCAAAAACAATTGATAAACCGTACTAAAATTAAAATTGAATTTTTATTTTAAGCCAGGGAACCATGGAAAAAATGCCGAGGAATTTCTAAATGGCAAGGGTTTTTCAAGTGGAATTCCCCATATGGGGAATTCCACTTGAAAAACCCTATATATGGATATAAAAAACTATAAATTTATTAACTTTATTAACCTTATCGAATTTATTTGTTTTTAGTTCTTGATGAAGTAGGATCTAAAGATGAAGATTCCATGGCAGAAGCAGTTCTAAAAACAAGAAGTCTTCCAGCCTGGGTGAGAAATAAACCACGCCCTCTATCCACTGAAGATGATTTAAACGACCTGTACGCCAAGGTACGTAATATTATTCTAAAACTAATTGCATACATTAAAAATATTTTTTTTAGGTAAACTTCAGTAAAAAACGAAAAAATCGCATGAGAAACGATGAAGCGGCAATAATCGCTTTGAGCAAATCACGGAGTCAATTTCTTCACAAAGACACGGATTCCCTAGTGGATAACGAAGCTGTAATTGTCTACGATGAACGTACAGCCCTTTAGACTTATTAATTAATATTTTTTTGATATGTTTTTACACTAAATCAGTATTGAAATTTCGGCAGAAACGATCTATCAATGTATTAACATATCGGTCAAACTAAAGACTCTACTGACAAATAAGTTTTGTAGGTATTAAGAAGTATATTTTCTGTGATAAATCCAAATATGGTAGAAAAGAATTGGTAGGGTTTTTCTAACTTTTTAAGACTGGTATTAAATAATTATACTTAATGTTATTGTAGAGAACATGGTCAATATTCTTAATTATTCCATATATTTGGTGACCATATGCTATATAGTAATATTTAAATAGTGAATCACTAGAAAATGTATTGGCACAGTAATAGTGACTTTTTATAACAATGTAATGAAGAATTTAATAAATGCACTTAAGAAATTATTTTTTTATTTAATCCCTTAAGTAGGTACATGCAGTCAATAAAAAATAAAACAACAATGCAATTTATGTCATTGGGTTGGTGATATTAAGATCTTACCTCGTTTTCAACAGAAAAAATAGAAACCCTATTATTGCATAAAAATTGACAAAAAGTATATTTTTCACCTTTTTCCATTTAAACAAGAACTACCGCACTAATTAATGGCAACTTTGTTTGAATTTACGTTCATTAGAAAAATGACATAATCAACAATTAATAAAAACGCCAAATTAACAATTTGTATTGATTTTTTGTAACTAAGCTAAATTTAAACAAAATCTGGCATCTTTTTTTAACAGAGTCTGGAAACGCTGGTTGTTACCAACCATAACATAATAAATTAAATTAGAAACCAGATTAGCCTAAAGTTCCTAGTTGATCAGTGGCGTACTTTTTGGTAGGATAAAAGTAATTATAAATTATTATTATGTTTTATATTTTGTTTAATTTTAAATGAATAAGATTTGGTTCTAAATAAAACTCCAATGTATAGATTTATATTTTCTATTTTGGGATTATTTTACAAATATCATAATAAATTTACAAATATTATATACAGGTATTTACAGAGTCAAGTTTTGGAAATGTTAAATATCACTATATAAAACAACCAAAGTAAAGCAACTTACATAATAAAATACTGAAGGTAAATTTAAGAGGATTTACTTTTATAAAAATAAGAACCTTGTAGCTTAGTTAATAGCATTTTTTCTTAATTAATTGACAAAATCAATAAGCTTTGGTACTTCATGCGAACTTCATCGAATTATGGTTGAACTTCAGACCTTCTATAAAATTATTTCACCATAGAACTTACATCAACCATCAGCTGGGAAATAACTTCGATTTCGACTTCGGCCGACTCCCAAACCACGATTTTTTCCACTCCAAAGTTTCGTGTATCAACCTCTCCTCCTCTGGAGTAAACTTCAGCAAAGTTGAAATGGCTTTGATGAGATGTTGCGCTTCGTATTCTCGGCTGGTTAAAAACTTGATGATGACGTGTTTGAGGTATTTAAAATTGACGTCTTCTTCGTCTCTTTTCACGCTATTGGGAAAGTTTTTCGTGAACATTTGACTAGGTGTTAAAACGGCTGCTGTGTTTTCCATAAGGTCTGTATGGTAGTTGGAGTTTCCCGGCGTGCGTAGCTCTTGTTGGAGGGTTTTCTTGAGGTCTGCCAGTCTCAGTTGAAGGGTTTTAATATTCTAAAATTACACCTACCTCATGTAAAAAACCCTAAATAAAAACACAAATATTTACCGTATTTTTCTCGGATATCTGCTCCTCCAATTCGACTATATTATCGCGCAATTGTTTTTCTATCGATTTGCTGTCTTTTAATTTGCTATTCTCCTCCTCTAAATTGAGCAATTTGTTTAGGAGTTCGTTCATTTCCTGCTCTTGACGTTTCATTTTCTGCTTTACCATCTCCATTTGTTGGGAAATTTCCGCGTTTCTTAGCAGTGTTGTGTTTTTTTCAGTCGTCACCCTATAAGAAGAAAAGTAATAGATTTGTCAATTTTTTATTCTTGTAGGAACTAAGGTTTTAAAATTTTATAAAAAATTTGTTTTTTCCGAAAAAAAAACCTGAAACTAAAAATAATTTATATCCTTTATCCTACCAAAAAGTACGCCACTGATCGACTAGGAACTTAAGGCTAATCTGGTTGCCTAATTTAATTTATTATGTTATGGTTGGTAACAACAGATTTTGTTAAAAAATTGCCAAATTTTGTTTAAATTTTGCTTAATTACAAAAATGACAAAATCAACTATGCAAATTGTTAATTATGTCAAAATCTGGCAACTTTTATCACAGAATCTAGTGCATTTCTTTAAAATTTTAGGTTATGTACTCAAATTGTAAATATCTTAACTAAGGGAAGTGCTTTTGGAATTATTTACACAACTTGAATGTTTTAAGTTTGAACTTGTCCTAATTTCATCTGAGTAAACAGAAAGAAAAAAACCGATGAACAAATTAATTTTGTGGTTATGGAGTTTTTAAAATAGGTGCTAAATTTTCTAATCATTGCTTAAGCTAACACCTGGATGAGTAAATAAATACAGAAGGGTATTAGAGCTTTAAGGGCTTAAAACTTTTGAATTTATTGAGTTTTTATTTATTTTTTGCAAGAAAAATTTTTAGTAACAATGTGTAACCAGTGGCATATCACAAAAAATATAAAAAACTTCTAAGTCATATTTTTTCTTTATCTTTGGAAAAATATTTTTTTAAATATTTGCAAAAAAAAACAACTGACAGTATATTAAATATTAAATTTTAATGTTTACTTTTATTTTCTTAAATCATTTTAATTCAATTTAGTTTTATTTTTTTCTGTTATAAAGGATATTTTTTTTAATTAATATAATGTTAAGAAATTGATTCTACTTTTTAAAATGTGTATATTTTCTAAAAAAAATCAATTCTTCCCAAAAAAGACAATTTTTCCAATGCCTGAGAAAAAAATTTAAAAAACAGGTTTTCCCCCATTTTTTTCCGACACTTTAAACCCCAAGTTAGAACAAAACTAATGGCTTGTTTTGAAAAAAGTATACGTCCAGATGTTTTCTTGACTTTATTTGATCTAAAAGACAGGAAGAACCCTATTAAAAATACCCTATAGAACCCATATTGATCCAGATAAGGAAACTAATATGGATTTATATGGTTCTATATGTCCTATATGGAACGACCTGGTTTACACTTCGGAATCTATATGGTTTAATATGGAATTTCATTTTAAAATGTACAACTTAGGGATTTTTATATGGATTTATCTGGTTTCTGTTTCATGTGTCTTTCCATATAGGTTTCCCTATATGGTTGAATATGGAATTCCATTTTAAAATGTATATATATTTAAACGGAAATTGCATATTAAACCATATAGATTCCCCTATATGGTTAAATATGGATCTATATGGTAATAATTTTTTTCACACCCAAACCATATTGGGCCAGATAGAGCAATATGAACCTATATGGCAATCCATATAGAAATCACTTTTCTATATGGTTTTCCAGGTATGGAATTCTATCTGGTTCAATAGTGCAATGCCTGTTTCAAATTCCTATATTGAACCAGATAGAACCATATAGATTTTTATTTTGTGTTTCTATATGGCATTTTTAATAGGGAATGCCTTTTTCGTTAAATTTACCTGGTTAGTGTTTTTTGTACATTAAGAGAATTTGATTTCTCTTCTGCCAGTTCCCTTTCTAACTTTGTGATGATTTGTCTAAGAGAATTGCTTGCTTGGTGCTCAGAATCGACGGATATTTTCAACTTGCTTCTTTCATCCTCGGTTTTATTCAACTCACTTTCCGAGTTTTCCAGATTTTTCTTCACCACCTTTAACTCTGTCTTTGAGTTACCCTAAAATAATCAAAAATCAGTTGGGTGTTACATAAACGATACTGGATAAGGGTGGACATTTAAGAGGGGAGACATTCACGAAAATAAAACAAAAATTAAGGGGTTTAAATTATATTTATTGGAACAAGCATAACATGTTTATAGAATTTAAAGATTTAAAATAAAGACAGTAGAAAATCTACTTACATCCAACAATATATAAGCATTTCATTAATACGTAATACTGTGTGTACAAGCTAGCAGTGAGTTAACACAACACGCCACAGGGTGTCCCAAAAATAGCAAAGTAATGACGATTTTTGTTTTAACAATTTGGGAAACTCTGCAGCGCATATTTTCATAATATTACCCATCATTCTTCTTAAAGCATTATCTAAAACTTCTATGGGGAAAATCATCCATAAATAAAAATAACGGTTAAAACATAAGCTTAAATATTTTTGTGACTCACGAGTTCGCCTCTTAAAAACGCGATTTCCTCCTCGTTCTCCGTTTTCAGCGACTTCAGCTCGAAGGACAGTTCGTTTATGTCGGCCGTTAGTCGTTTTATTTTGTTCTCCTTGTTGTTCAAGTCGAACTTATTGCACTCCAGCTCTGCTTCCAGCTGTTTTATTTTGTCGTTCAGTAGTTCTTTATCCTGGACGGCTCTTCGGCGCTCCGCGCTTTCTTCCGCGGCTTGTCTGCTTAGTCTGCCCACCTGATAAGCAAAAGTAATAATAATAATAATAATAATTAGTAGGATTACCAAAAATCAAAACAAAATATTACTTAAATTGATAAAAATCGTTCAAATTAACAAAAACACATAAAATACTTTAAAAAATCCCAAACCAAATTTAAAAATAACATTCAAATCAAAAACCAAAAAAAAATACAAATCCTTATACAATATAGGTATATTAGTCTGGGCCAAAAAAAATCGACTATTTTTTTATATATATATATTATATAGGTATATCGAAAATATTGTTTGAGGTGACAAAAAAAAATTATGGTGAAAGTTTGAAACTCCCAAATCATTGAGTTTAAAAAAATTGACAAAAAAGGTTTGATTGGAATTTCCCGTCAGATGAACCGTCAATCATGCCTTAAAAATTGGTATAGTTTTACAATTTGATCTTTTAACTTTGGAATTTTGTAATTCATGTAAAAATCAGTACCCTGAAAAAAAAACCGGTAAATATTCTAATGGGAAATCAAATGCTCTACAAAAAAGTCTTCACTCCATCAAAAGTTATTCAAGGTTAAATTTGAAGTCAAAACGAAATTGAATAACTTTTGATTGAGTGAATTTAGCCAAAAATGTTGAGAGGCTTTTTTTGTAAAGCATTTGATTTCCCATAAGAATATTTATCGTTTTTTTTCAGGGTACTGATTTTTACTTGAATTACAAAATTCCAAAGTTAAAAGATCAAATTGTAAAACTATACCAATTTTTAAGGCATGATTGTAAGAAAAGGGTTCATCTGACGGAAAATTCCAATCAAACCTTTTTTGTAGAGCATTCAATTTTCTTCAAAAAATATTCTTAAGTCAATTTTGTTAAAATCAATGATTTGGGAGTTCTGAGACAAAAACTCGCTCAGGAAAAAAAACTCTAAAATTGCGATGATAGACCTTTTAATATTAATATTATGGACTTTCACCATAATTTTTTTTGTCACCCCAAACCATATTTTCGATATACTTTCCAAAAAAAATAGTCGATTTTTTTGACCCAGTCTAATGTATAGGTATCTTTTTTGTTTGTGGATCTAAGATCGGTTAAATTAGAGAAAAGTTGCGTAATTACAAATCTAAGAAAATGGAAAATGAAAATTTAGCGGTTCTCAAATAATTTAAAAAAACTGAAAACCTTTCAAAACAAAAAATCGATCCTGAAAATTGGTAAAAAATACGTTTTACAAGTAAAAATAAACATTTAGCTACATTTTTGTCCAATTTGCGATTTTTTCGCATTCTATAGATTTTGTTTTTCCTATGGTTGCTATCATGGAGCCTACACAAGGAGTACGAACTTTTTATTACGCAATTTTTCACTGATATTTATATAACCGACCCTGTAGCTCTTCAAATAAAAAAAAATAACACAAAAACCAAAAATCAAAAACAAATCTAAAATAAAAACAAAATCACCTGGAAAATAGTAAAAATCCGGTAAAAAAATATACAAAAAAAAAAATTGTATTTAACAGATGTTAAAAATTCAAAAACAAATCTAAAAAAAAAACAGAATAGTAAAAAAAAACCTAATAAAATGCAAATAAAATTTAATTAGTCACAAAATTCAAAATTGTTATTGGTACCACGCATTTTTTACTTTTCTAATAAAAATTTAAAAATATATTTAAACTCATATAATTTTTATAAAAATATCATACTCTTAAACCCTGTAAAACTTCAATATTAATTAACAAAATTACCTAATAATGCAAAACTGGAAAAATTAAAACAATATAAGAAAAAAGGTAGAAGTCAAAAATGTTGGTAAAGAGAATACGAAATAATGGAAAACACAAAAAAATTACAAATTAGAAAAAAGAAAATGAAAATTGTAAGAAAAATAATGAAGTTTGGGTAGTGACAACAAAGAATATAACGACAAAAAAAGGTTTTGTCAATTTTTCTATTGTTTTCTTTTGTTAATATTATTTTATATGTAGCTTAAGTTGATATTCTTGAGTATGCCATTTTCGGTACGCCCTGTTTATAAACTAATATGATATGATAAACCCTGTAATAATTAAACAAAATTACTTAATATTGCAAAAACAAAAAATAAACTAAAAAAATTAGAAACTGGGCAAAAATAAACAAAAGACAATTGATGGAAAACAGCTTAAAAACAATAATTACAAAAATGACAAAATTTCAAGTAATAAAACAAAATAAATAGTAAAAAAAAACAAATAATGAAAATTGGAAAAAATAGTGATTTTTTTTTCTATTTTCTTTTTGATTTAAGAAAACATGTTTTTAATTGTTGTCTAAATGTCTAATTCTTATACAACGTAAATATTAGAAAAAAGTCAAGAATTTTATTAAACTTGGTAAAAATAAAGCAAAGATAATAGGAAATAATGGAAAACATAAAATTACAAATTTATAAAAAAATTCAAAATGAAAATAGTAAAAAAAATAATGAAGTTTGTCTAACTAGTGACAAAAATATACGACAAAAAGTGAAAAACTAATTAAAACAAAATTATATTTTTAAGCTTTTGTCAGTTTTTCTATTTTTTTTCTTCTGTTAATATTATTTTATATGTAGCTTAAGTTGATATTCTTGAACACCCTGTATATCAACTAATATAATAATGATAAATCCTGTTATAATCCAATAATTCTTAATATTGCAAAAAATAAAAAAATAAATACCTATCTAAAAAAAATGGAAATCGGGCAAAAAAATAATAAAAAAAGACAATGGAAAACACCTTAAAAATCAATAATTACAAAAATGAAAAAATTTCTGGTAAAAAAACAAATACTTAAAAAAAACAAATAATGAAAATTGGAAAAATAGTGAATTTTTTTCTTTTTTGTTTTAAGAAAAAATGTTTTTAATTGTTGTCTAAATGTCTACTTGTATACCACGCAATTTTAAAAAACAAAAAATTTTAAAAATACAAAAAATTTTCAAAATACACCTTGTATATTAACTAATATGATATTTATAAAAAAAACCTGTAAAAATCCATTATTATACCCATAAAATAAATAAAAATATGAGAAATAAAGGTAGAAGTCAAGAATTTTGGTAAATTAGTAAAAATAAACTAAAGAGAATAGGAAATAATAAAAAACAAAATTATAAATTAAAAAGAAAACAAAATAAAAATTGTAAGAATAATAATGAAGTTTGGGTAAAAACGACCAAAAGTGAAAAACTGCTTAAAACAAAAAAAAAAAGGTATAAAAAATAATGAAAATTGAAAAAAATTGTGAAATTTTTTTCTATTTTCTTTTTGTTTAAAAAAAAATGTTTTTAATTGTTGTCTAAAGGCCTTGTTCCTACCATTCGACAGTCCAAAGGCTCTCTATTGCAAGTTGGCTTATACCAGCATACAAAACTCAAAAAGCACTAACCTGCGTTTCCAAGGAAGCGATCTTGTCGCTCCAGGACGTCTTGATGTCCGCCAAATGCAGATGCGCCTCCTCCAACCGCTGCTCGAGCAGCCTCCTCTCCTTGACCGCGTGCTCGTCCGTGCTCGTCTCGTTGGACAGCCGCTCGCGAAGCACCGCGACCAGGTCCGACAAGTGCCGACGCTCCTCCTCGCACTGCGCGAGATTCGTCGCCAGCGTTGCCAGATCGCGCGAGCTCGAGTGCCGCAGCGACTCCAGATCGTCCTGAAAGCGTCGCGATCGGTCGGATCAGTGTCACGTGACGTGAGAGATGTTATTTTATTGGCGGAAAGCACATACCTGTGTGTTATAGCCCAGAAGCTCACCGTACAAATAATAAAACACGTGTGCATAATGGCAAAACTTCAAAAAACGGCACTGTGAAGAATGCTTTTTGTTTGATAACCTGAATCTTCCAAATTAACATGAACAACGATAAATAAACACAATATTTCGTAAAGTAACACTGGGCGACAAAATTTTATGTTTCAACTGGTTTATTTCAAAAAATATATCAGGGTTCGATCGATATATCATGATATTTATCACGATATATATCGATATTTATAAGCAATGATATTTATAAAACTATTACAATTAAATATTTAACACCTTTTTTTCAAAGGTCAAAGGATCTATTATAACATTTTAAAAAAGTATATAATTTTCTTAATAGAATTTAGTAAATATTTGTAGATTTTATTAAACACAAAATTAACAGTTAATATTTTTTTTTTTTCAAATTTAAAATTTGTTTAATTCGTTCGTTTAACACAAACACAAAATTAACAGTTAATAATTTAATTTTTTTTTAATTTAAAATTTGTATAATTCGTTCGTTTAATCCTGCGAATTGTCTAAAAGACGACCGTATTGTCACAATTGTATACTGGCCGCGAAATCGTTTTATATTCTTAATCTATGTTGGGGCTGTGTTATAATTGTAGTGATAAAAGTAATAAAAATAAAATGCCAAACAAAAAAGATATGATTGAAATTAAAATTTAATGTAATATTTTTTTGATTAAGAATTTATTTTTTGTTTTATACCTAAGTGTTTTCAAACCAGTTTTGTTTACTTTTTTAAATAAATTTATTAAAACCATTTTTATTCTGGCTACTGGCTAATATAATTAATTTTTGAACAAAACCTTAGAAGAAATAAATTAAAAAAATATCAAGTTGTTGATATACATTGTGACCCCTCACCTCTGTAAAATATTTATTTATTGTGCGATTTTAACCGTATTTTTTTTAAAGTGTACATCTTGATAAAACGCCATATTTTTACAAAATACAAGGCCTACTAGGTCAGTTTTTAAGAGTAAATTTTTAAGAATTCATATTAGCGATTTTTTTTAAACAAAATCTAAGCACAGCCCTGGATTCACCACCCCTCAAAATGACCATATACTAAATTTTATTGAAAAATTTTAGGTAGAAAAATGCACAATAATAATTAAAAAAAATTATTCTGTTATCCATGAAAAAACATTTAAATAAAATTAAACCTATAGTAATAGTACCATTTTAGTATTAATTTAATTTTATTTCAATGTTTTTTATGGATAACTTGACAAAATAAATTTTTGTTGTTATTGTGCATTTTTCTACTTAAAATTTTTCAATAAAATTTAGTCGTTTTGAGGGGTGGTGAATCCAGTGTTGTGCTTAGATTTTGTTTAAAAAAATCGCCAATAGGAATTCTTAAAAATTTTCTCTTAAAAACTGACATAGTAGGCATTGTATTTTGTAAAAATATGGCGTTTTTTGCTTCAAAAATACAGTTTATCAAGATCTGCACTTTAAAACAAATCCGGTTAAAATCGCACAATAAATAAAGATTTTACAGGGGTGAGTCACCAACAAATGGGTCACACTGTATATCAATATATATCCGATATTTTAATATTTAAAAAAAAATTTCATGATATTTTCGAACCCTGACAAATATTCTTACATAAACTAAAAACAATTAAAAATTTAAAAAAACGCAGTAAAAAAGCAAATTCCTATTGCGTAGTACCTATGTTTCAAAAATTTTGTCAACCAGTTTAAAAAACGTAAATAATAAAAAAATAAAAACCTCGTTAGTGGGACAATATAAATATTTAAATGATAAGAATAATACCTATTTAAATAATGTACAAAAAATTAAATAATAAACAGATAAGAAAATACTCTATTTTAGCTAGACCCATAATAATTATTTACAAAAATTGGGTCTTTCTAATTAACATACCTGTATATCACTTAACTGTTCTTCCTGTCTTCGAAGTCTATTGACCTCACTCCTTAATTTTTCTAATTGGTTATTTGCTTCTTTTAAAGCAGCTGTTTTTTCGGATAATTCTTGTTCTCTTAACAAAACTAATTGTTTTACTTTTGACAGTTCTTGAACTTGCAAAGTCTCAATCTGCTCATTATTTTCTTGGTGGTTAAGTATTTTTTGCTTAAAATCTGAAAAAATTAAAATATAGCTTAAGACAGTTGTTTATAACTAGCTAAAGACAGTTCTAGACATATCAAGCTTAAGTTGACATTTTTAATACACAGCTTAAATTGACATTCCTAAGATAGTTATGTAGCTTAAATTGACATTTACATCTATCAGTATTTAAACAAAACAAGAATTAGATTTGATGTAAATTTGTAGGTTTGTCAAAAAATTACCTTCTGCATCTTTAAGAGATTCCTTTAAATTTAGGATTTGCTTGTAAGCCTCCTCCTTCTCCTTCTCAATAATATGCAAATGCTTGTCTTTCTGTTTAACTAAATCCTTCCATTCCACCTCTTTCAACTCTAATTTCCTTGAATATTCCGATTCTATTCTTGAAAGCCTTTTCTTAAACTCCTCGCTTTCATTCTGAATATCCTCTCTTAATCCATCACTGGAAACAATGGAATTTAAACTGCTTGTAGACCCTTGATGAGATCGTCCCCTAAGCGAATCAATTTTTTGCACAGTACTAGAGGTGATTTTTGCTGTTAATTTGGAAAGATCACTCCCTGTTTCCTCTTTTATTTTGTTTTTTAATGATGCGAACATTTTTATTTACACTAACACAGGCATATTAATTTGAAGAGCGTTAGGTGAGCTTCGTAATACACATTTTATTCATTAAACACGTATTGTTGTTGGGTTTTGATAAGAAACTTCAGCATCTGTAATGTTTTGTGGAAACGGGTGACGTTTATCGGGAATGTCGGATGTGTCAAAATTGGACATCTGTTGAGAAATAGCTGAGGTTTGAATGAAGGAATCTGTAATTGTTATACTATATATTTTTTTTTAAATTTATATTCACAGGGGTTATTAATCTATGATATTCACTCCTGCAATCTACAAAATCTGTTCAAATTTTGTTCAAGCCACGAAGTTTAAACCCACAAACCATTAGGTTAATTTATAGGGGCTTTTTGTACCTTCCGTGAAACTTTATTGTTTGGAGATACCCATAGCTGGTTCTTGCATTGGGCCCCTTAATTGTTAATAAATAATTATTATTTGATAAAACCATGGAGCCTAGACTAATAAAACAATGGAATTTATGAAGACCCATTTTTTTTGGAGAATAATTTTAAATAAAACATGGCTTGTTGGTAATTTCGGGATGTTTTGTTGTAATTTTGACTAATTTAAGGATTGTTTTTGTGTCGCTATTTTCTTGGTGTTGATATTTTTCACGTTTTTACCGTGTGTGGGTAGAAGATGTTTTATTTAGGTCATAGCTGAAATATAGTGCTAAATGTTGATCTACACGTGAGATTATCCCGAATTTAAGAATATTTTTGCATTTAAACGATATAGAAAGAATATTAGTGGGTAATTTGTCGTAATAAAGGATTAAAGTGGGTGAAAAAGTGTTGGGTAGTTTAAATGTGTATTGTTTTGGCGCCATAAAATCAGATGTTGATTGTATTTTCGTAGTGGTAAAGGGAATATCCGAGTGCGATTTTTTTCGATAGATTCTGATAAAGGTGTTTAAATCGTTGATAAAAACGATTAGGTGTGTTAATAAGGTGCAAGTTGGTTGTATAAAAAAAGGTTTTTGTTGATCAAGCATTCTTATGTCCACAATTTGCTGTCAGTGGGCTTTTTGAGCATCATTTAACGCAAATTGTATTTTTCACAAAAACGGTCAAGTGTTTTATTTAGTGCCCGATTATTGAGCATATGTTATTTTAATTACGAATGTGCTTCAAGTAAATGTGCATTGCTGTTATTATGTTCATGAATGAATTGGATGTAAGTATTATATTATTTAGGTTATGTCACAAATCACAAATTTTGTGTGAGGTTCGTTTTTTTATTTGTACTTTGACAACGTCAAAATTTTGGGGGTTCAGTTGGACAATGCAAATAAAACTAAACCTATAATTGGCCACAATGATTAAAAAATACCAAACTAGTAGGGTTATGTTATAAATTTTATAAATCTTATTAGTGTACAATTATTAATTTCCTAATTATATTATGTTTCCTTTAAATTTTTAATTAAAAAGTTTGCCACAAATTGTCCGAATATTTGGAATTGAATTGTTGAAAAATATAAATTTATCTTAATAAATTTGCTCAAATAAAAAACATTACAGGACCTTACTTAAAATGTTGATTGTTTCTGTTGAATTGGTACCTAAAAATATTTAAAAAGTCACCACTGTGATGGGAAAAAATTGCTTATTACTTTTAACTAAGTAATGTTAATTTTCTTTCATTTTTGAGATAGTGTTATCCAGCTTAACTTGACATTCTTAAGACAGTTTTACCTAGCTTGATTTGACAGTTATACCTAGCTTAGTTGACATTTTTAAAACAGTTATAGGTAACTAACTTAAGCTGATATTCTTAAGACAGTTATAACTGATAATATACTTACAGTTATCTATAGCTTTATCTGGCATTTTAAGTCAGTTAAATCTAGCTTGAGTTGATATTCTTTAGACCTAAGACAGTTATAAAGTGAGTGCTTTAAAAATTTTGTTTTTAATTTTTTTTAGTAGTAAAAAAAATCAAAATTAAAAATTAATAATCTTCACATATTGATGGGACAATGGAGAGGCAATTTTTTTCCACATATTTCACAGTGGTTTCCCTCTTAATAAAAAATAATTCCAAATTATTGGAAAAAAAATTGCAATTTTTTTTTTCAACATTTTAGAAATTTGTATTGTAACATCAATGTGTTCTGGAGATGGTGTGTAAGGAGGAGGTATTATCATGGTTTAAGGACTTGGAAAGTTACAAAAGAATAGATGTCTTGTACAATTTGTTGAATATGTGTCTTCCTTTTGAGTTGCGGTTCCTGGGGAGTTGTGTTGAGGAGATTGGCAAGCACACATACCAGGAACTTCGGGGCCCCGAAATAACGGCCAACGATTACGAAAAACTCTCTAAAGATGCGACTTTCAACCAAGGTTTACTTGAAGAGAACGTTAGGCATCGGGTGTTGCTTTACCTTTCGTTATTATCCTCTAGGAACTATAGTGTAGCTAATTTTTTATACAAAAAGTTTTTAAGGACAGAACATGTCGACGACATTGTGAGTGGACGTGTTAAAGATGAACTGTTACACAGTGAGACTTTGTTGTTGTTTACGATGGCATTGTACCATCCTGCATTTACCTTTGATCAAAAACAATTTTTTAGTCAAATTCTTAGTCATTTAATCGAATCGAATTCTACCACGGCGCCAAAGCCCAGTGTTTATGGCTATCCACCTGGATTTGGCTACCCCTCAACAAAAAAGGTATTTTTTTTCAAATTTATTTATTTAGCTATAATTGTATTTAATTTTTTTAGGGTTCTCCAGAAATTGTTTCTTCAGTTCCGGTAAAATCGGCTCCTATTATGTGCTATAGCGATTCTACTATACATCAGCAGCCCCCAGGGTTGCCACATCTACCGCCACAGCCGCCTATTGAGTTTATTTGGAATGTACGTCCAGGGTTTTTATGTGCAGGAGCACCTGAGGTGAATATTAACATAATTTACATAATTATAAACAGAAATAACTACATGTTTATTAATTTATTTTACATTTATTTATTTAAAAAGGCCGCTGTTTTAAAGTATTAACATGATTATCAGAAGTAAATTTGTTACAAAAATAAGCTTTATATGTATCATCCTAAAAATTACCTAAAAAAAATTTATTAATTTATTACCATTTAAAATGTAAAATAAATAGTTAAATTTTATAAATAATTTATCAAGTATAAAATATTCTTTGAAGTAAAATCAATTAAAATTATATGCCATAACTTTCTTATAACATCTATTGAATAGAAACTAACTTTAATAAGAAAATTATAGTGTTGTAGTTTAACCGAGTTTAACAAACTTTTAATTAACATTTAATTCAAAATTTATAAACTATTCAATTTATTCATAAATGTTAATTTATTAATGCATTTTTAAAATATTTTCCACACAAAACAATAAATAAAGATACTAAATCTGTAAAAAACATTTTCTATAGTACTGATTTATTATTAAATGATTGTGCTTAGAAGTTCTTAGAAAACCGTTAATTTCATAGTTAAACTAAACAAAAGATAAAATTCAGTCACTTTTTTAATGTCACCTTTAATATAGTTTTTAAAATAATTAATTATTTTTATAAAAAAAAACAGTACATACAGTTATTGTTATTGATGTTTTTTTAATAATCAGTAGGATATAATGGCAATCTTAATGGTTTTATCAAGTCAATTATGTTTGAAAATTATCAATGAATGTATAATTAAAATTGTATACTACTAATTATAATAACTAATAATATAATTAATTTAATTTATACATTTTTATCTATCTATTATATTTTTAGTTTCTATCCAAGTTTTTTATGATTTTTTGTTTAATTTTTTTTATCACTACCATTCACTACCAGGGTATTGTTTTATTTTTATTTTTTCATAAAAAGAAAAAACACGTTTTTTATTTTGCGACAATTTAATTATAGTGTTCAAAAAATATAATGTTCAATATATATTCTGAACCAACAAAAAAATTTTAAGCAAAAAGGCTGAAATTTAAAAATTAAAAAATCTACATGAAACTTTTTTTAAATATTTTAAATAGGGCTAGTTTGAGAATTTATAGGTTTAATTTTTATCGAATTCGTTTGTTTTGTTTTAATGCATTTCTGCAAATAAAAACTAAGTATTGTTTAAAATCCATTAAATTCCAGTTAATGGCGAAAATGTATTTCTTAAAAACTATACACATTTCCCTACGACAGCGTCGAAGCTACTGAAAAAACACACTAGATCAAACTGCATGCCCTTGTATCTGGCTGCATGCCGCGCTGTTGCCATATGCTATTATTGTTTCCTAAAAAGGTTGTTTTTCTTATTTTTTAATATTAAAAGTAAGAAAATTAACTAAATCAAATTATTTTTTACATATTATTATTTTTTTGTTATTTTTAAAGTTTCAAAGAAATAAAATTGAACTATTTATTAAATAATTATAATCGTTCTCTTCTGATTTAAAACAACCAGTAATTACGAATGGCTTGGTTTAAACTATGCCCAATTAAAGTTTGTTTCTTTTTCTCTGATCAGAATATAATTTGTCATCCTTGTCTCCAGCCTATATATAGGTACCTCAGAAAATTTCAAAAGTAGTAATTTTACCTTACTTTTAACTTTATTCAAAAAAACTCAACAAGCGATTTGGCTAAAAAACTAGTCATTAATATTTTTGTTAAAAAGGATTATTTATTTTTTTCTTATTTTTAGTACATTTGCTTACTTTATTTCTTCTAAAATTTTACAAAAACCTCCTAAATTCCTTAATAAAATTTGTTATTTAACCGTGGAAACCCTGCATTTTTTAAAATTAAAAAATGCATATAAATAGTCAATGTTTTTGACATTCACGTTTCTCTTAGGTGCCGCCATTCCCGCCGCCATCGGCCTCCCCGCAGCTAAGCCGAACCTGCTCACCTAGTCACAGCCGAAGCGCCTCCCCCCTGCGACCCGCGAACCACCCCCCGCCCCAGCATCAGCAACCGCCCCATCAGCAGCAGCACCAGCAGCAACCGCCCTCGCAGCAGCTGCAGCCGGTCAACGTGCGGCTGCCGCCGCCGCCGCCGCCCGAGCGCGTGCAGCCGCCCCCGCCGCCGGTCGTGAGCGCGCAGCCGTCGCAGCAGGAGTGCCTGCCGCCGTCGGCGCTGATGCCGTCGCCGCAGCACCGTCGCACGCCGACGGTGGCGGCGCATCCGCCCCCGGTCGTGCAGATGCAGGCGGAGGGGCTCACGCAATCTAGTCTACCGATGTACCAGAACGAGGTCAAGTTACCTGATGAAGAGGTAAACATTTATTTGTTTATTTTAACATTTTTTATTTACATTCGTGTTAATACAATATAGGTATGTATTTTTTGTGTATAAAGGTCTTAATTTATAACACAAAAATACATGTATTTTATTAATAATTGTCAAATAATTGAGGTTATGTATTTGTCAATTTAGTCAATCAATTTTGTCGCATTTTCTAAACATAATACAGTATTATGTTAAGAAAATAAACATACGTTATTTTTGTTGCAGTCCTTATTCAAATGTCAAAGTGGTACTTTTAGATGTGTACCTTGTGGTTTTATATAACATTTTTACCATTCAATTATTTTGGTTTATAGTAAAGCAAGGTTTATATTTTTATACACTGCGCGTCAAAATTAACGCATAAGTAAAAAAAATTCTAACTCTAAAACGCCTTTACCAATCTTTATAAAATTTTGGATAAAAAAACGCTACAAAATTTTCAGGGTTACTAACCAAAATACGGTCTTTAACAGAATATTTTTGTATACTTAAAAAAAATTCCCGAAAAGTTATTTTTTGAATGTTGTTTTTATTATTAAATACAAGGGCTTTAAAAACATTTTCTCGAAAAACCCTTCAAAACGTAAACTGAGATATAAGTTGAAGTATTTTTATACAAAATTTCATAAAGATTTGTAAAGGCGTTTTAGAGTTAGAATTTTTTTACTTATTATGCGTTAATTTTGACTCGCAGTGTATTTCCATGTTAATTTTATGGATTTTTTTTTAAATTAAAATATTATTACCTCCTAAAACTCCCTAAAAATTTGGCTTAAATCTTGAAAACTCCTTAAATTCTTCTAAAATTGCCATCAATCTCCCAAAACTCTTAAAAATTAAATATGAATAGGCCAATCTGACTGCGTTTAATGAAGGAAGTTGTGCTAAAATATTTCTTTTCTAAAAAGTAATTTAAAAGTATATATTTTTAGGTTCTATTTTATTAAATTCTTTTTAAAATGATATAATATTACAACCAACATTTAAAAAAAATTTAAACAAAATATACCTAAAAAACAAAATTCAAGTAATAGCTCCTAGACTACAAATTGTCATTTTTAACCATATTTTGTTTTAGACAAAAATATACCATGTATATCAAACAAAAGGATTTTTAATTTTCTTTTAAATGACAGCTAAAATAGTAAACAATCTAAAGAATGTTTTGCTGTATTTTGCAAAGTTCATATTTTTTCTTAACTAAACAATTTTTTCTTAAAATATAAATATAACATCATTAAATTTTGGCCTAGTTTTTTTACCAAATCTGGTGTCGTGAAATGTCTACTATAAAAAAGTAGTAATTTTACCTCACTTTGAATTCTATTTGTACAAAAGAAGTTATATTTATTTATATTTTCGTTAAAAATAATTATTTATTTTTTTCTTATTTTTTAAGTACAGTGTAGAGTTACAGAAACTCATTTGCATAGTTTATTTCTCCTAAAATTTTACAAAACCCTAAATTTCTAAATAAAATTTGTAGTTCAAAAGTTATTTAAAAACAAACGATTTCCAGGAGTGTCCGTTATGGGACCGTATCTCCGTAGAGGGGGCCGTAGGAAAAAACATTATAAGAACTTGTCATAGTATTTTTATGTGTTTTATTCGAATCCGGGAGATTGTCCACATATTCTGGGACACCCTGTATGCACAACAATTTTTTAAATAAACTACTGTATTTTTTATTAGTTCTTGCATTATAGGATTTTTTTACTAAAATTCAGCGTTTATTTAACAAGTGTTAAACTAATAAAAAATACAGTAGTTTATTCAAAAAATTGTTAGTACTGTAAAGTTGCATTTATTTATGTTATTGCAATTAAAATTAATTTTCGTTGTTAAATGTACGTCCAACGAAAACATCGATTTTTCATATTTCAAAATGTTTTATGAAAATTTTTGAAGATGTGTTGTTCCTATAATAATAATTTTATGCTAGTCCTCAGCAATGAAATTAAGTAATTATAACTATTAGACTGGGCCAAAAAAATCAACTATTTTTTTTTGAAAAGTATATCAAAAATATGGTTTGGGGTGACAAAAAAAATATTGTGAAAGTTTGAGTCCATAATATTAATATTAAGAGGTCTATCATCGCAATTTTAATTTTTTTTCCTCAGCAAGTTTTTGTCTCAGAACTCCCAAACCATTGAGTTTAACAAAATTGACTCGAAAATATTTTTTGAAGAAAATTAAATGCTATACAAAAAAGGTTAAAGTGAAATTTTCCGTCAGATGAACCGTTTCCTTAAAATCATGCCTTAAAAATTGGTATAGTTTTACATTTGGAACTTTAAAATTGGAATTTTGTAATTCATGTAAAAATCAGTACCCATAAAAAACCGATAAATATTTTTATGGGAAATCAAATGCTTTACAAAAAAAGCCTCTCAACATTTTTGGCTAAATTCACTCAATCAAATGTTATTCAAGGTTAAAATTTCGTTTTGACTTCAAATTTAACCTTGAATAACTTTTGATGGAGTAAATTTAGCCAAAAATGATAAAAGATTTGATTTCCCATTGGAATATTTATCGGTTTTTTTTCAGGGTACTGATTTTTACATGAATTACAAAATTCCAAAGTTAAAAGATCAATTTGTAAAACTATACCAATTTGTAAGAAAACGGTTCTTCTGACGGGAAATTCCAATCAAACCTTTTTTTAGAGCATTTAATTTTCTTCAAAAAATATTCTCAAGTTAATTTTGTTAAACTCAATGATTTGGGAGTTCTGAGATAAAAACTCGCTCAGGAAAAAAAAATCTAAAGTTGCGATGATAGACCTCTTAATACTAATATTATGGACTTTCACCATATTTTTTTTTTGTCACCCTAAACAATATTTTAAAAAAAAATAGTCGATTTTTTTGGTCCAGTCTAATTAATAACTATTATAAAATTATTATTATATGAAAATTTTGTCTTGTTTTTGTCTGTCCCGTTAGTAATAATGAAATCGCCCCACTGTACACTTGCAAAGTTGCATTTATTTATGTTATTGCAATTAAAATAAATTTTCGTTGTTAAATATGGATTTTTCGTAGCACCCGACGTTGCAAGAAGAGAAGCACATGCGCAGCGAGCACCCGTGGCACACGCAGTACGCCGTCCAGAACGGCATGCGGTTCCCGCTGCCGAAGATGCGGCCGTTCCTCGCCGAGCACATGCAGGCGATGAGCCTGGACGGCGAGAACTCCCTGCACCACTCGAACTCGTCTTCCGACAGCAGCCCGAACAGGACGCCGCCCGGCACGCCGCACCCGCCCCCGCCCGCGCCCTGCCTCGTCGGCCAGAAGATGCGCAACGGGCTGCCGCCGCCGCAGTACGCGGTCACGACGATGTGCGACGCCGCGTCGCCGCCCCCGCCGCCCTACAGCAACTGCTCGCTGCCCTACACCTATCAGCAGTTCAACAGGTAGGTGCTCTTGTTTTAGTTGCTTACGAAAGATGAAACGGAAACAATTATTATTAAATAAATCGCCGTCACTTGCAACGTTTTCATTTTAATTAGATATACCTAACTGAAAATATTTCAATTGGAGCTTTTTTATATTTTGAGGAATATGGACAAAAATGTATATTACAATTAGGATTTAAAATTTCCGTAAAAATTGAGATGGCGGATAAAAACTGAACAACAACAAAAATTCCAATTTTAATTTTTTTTTACTAAAAATTTGACATTTTCTGCAAATTCTCTGCATTTTTTAGAGTAGCGTTTTTTTGTTTTCAAAATTTATCTCAGCTTATTGCTTATAATATCACTCTGGGGATTTTTTAGGATGTAGAGAGAACCTCAAAGTTTTAAAAAATATATCAAAAGAAATTGAAGTGGTAATCATCAACAAAATGTTAATGTTTTGTTTTTTTTTAAATACAATTAAATTCTCTGAAATTTTCAGTGGCGTTTTTTCGTTTTCAGCTTATTTGTCATAATTTTACAACGACCTCGTGTGCGTATATTCTAAATTGCAATAAAAAATTGCATGTCCCAACACCATTATTATCCACTTTATTATTTATTCCTACCGTGAGGTAAAAACCGTTTGGAAAAAAGTGAGGGTAAATAGACGTCATATTGGCAAAAAGTGAGGTTAAAACTGCTCGATAGTTGTCAGATGTCAAATAAAATTAACTTATGAAAAAACATTAATTTGCCTTTGCCACAGACCTACAAACAAGATGGACCGGTTTATTTACATTGAAAAGAGTGGCCAGGAACAAAAATAAATATTTTCCCTCAGTTGTCACATTTGACTTTGAAGTTTCTATATTTTACGTAAAAGATACTTGGAATCCACAAAATTTAATATTTTTTATTTGGTTTTATAGTGAAAAATACCAATAGTGAGTGATATAAAAATGGTGAAGCAGTGCTACGTTTGTAAAAGACTTGGATCCAAGAATTTAAAACTTTCTTTTCATAGGTTAGTTTATTTACAAAACAAACCCTGCCAGGAGCGTAGAAACTGAATAAATAAATGAATTCACTTAAATTTTAGATTTAAACAGCCAGATTCTACATCATCTGGAACACTAACTGACAAGGTTAGTATTTTGTTATACCTATATATTTATATATATTAAATATAATTTTTACATAGGACTGCAAAACACAATAAAAAATGTACAATTTAATATTTTTATTTATCCCTAAAAACAGAACGCCACTGGTGTGGGAACTTGTTTATAAATACCCCTTACCCCTTTACCCCTAATCTAAATAGTTCTTGGCAACAAAACATTGTGTATTTTGAATAGGAAAGGCCAGTCCATCTTGTTTGTAGGTCTGTGGCCTTTGCCATTTTTATTTCAATTTTTTTTTAATGCACTTTTCAGAAAAATATAAAAAAAACATTGGGACCGATCTTCAACGTTTTTTTTGTAATTTTTGGAAAAAATAACGAAAAGTTCACAATGAGTTCTTTTTTTTTGTATTAGATACTTTGACTTTTTTGCAGTTTTTCTAAAATTTTTAGTGGCATTTTTTCGTTTTCAAAATCTCACTACATCTCACCAACGGGAGGGGTGGTCGAAAAATCGCCAAAATTGTAAATCCTCCAAAATCCCCAAAGTAGTATTATGACAAATAAGCTGAAAACGAAAAAACGCCAACGAAAATTTCAGAGAATTTGCAGAAAACGTCAAATTTATAAGAAAAAAAAGAAAATTTTGTTGAAAATCGGTCCGAAATATTTTTTATATATTAAGTTAAATTAAAAACAAAAATTAAAAAAAAATCCACCATCATTTTTTTCGGTTGAGTAAACAAATTTGAAAAAAAATGTTTTTGATAGGTTAGATAAGTTTCAGTCAAATCGAAAGGGTCAAAACTAGAAATATAGGGTGCGGCAAAATATACCCTGCAAGTTTTTTTTAAAAAACTATTTATTATTAAAGCAGGTAAAATTATGTACGAAAAATAACATCGAGTAAATGACCGCCACGACAAGTCTGGTATTTTCCATGATGGAAAAGTCCAATTAGGATTCTACTTTTTTTAGTGGTTTCAATTGGGCATTTCCAGTGCAAAATCCTTAGCAAGAAAGACAAAAAACTGAGTAATTTTATTTATTTTTATTTTTTTTTGTGTTAGTTATATGTATCAAGACATATCTCACTAACACAAAAAATAATAAAGAAATTAAATTACTCAGTTATAATACATGTTTTGCCTATGTATCAATACATTTAATATGTAACATATCTCACTAACACAAACAATAATAAAGAAATAAAATTACTCAGTTATAATACATTTTTTGTCTCTTCTGTGAAAAATTAATTCTGGTTTTTACCCGGTTATCCTTCTGGGATTTTCAATTATTTTCTACTGGAACTGGTATTTTTGTTTCAAAATTAAAAAAAAAATAATTGCTTCAAACTGGTTGCAATGGGTTTGGCGCTATGAATTACCAATTCATTCCGGGTGCATTTCTATTGGATTTAGCCAATATAGACAAGCATAGGCATGGATTGGTATTTTCCAATCCAAGCCGCTGACTCTCCATTGGAACTTACCAATAGGAATGCAACTGGAATGAATTTGTGATTTCAAACCAATTCAACCCAATTACTTATTTTATTGGATTTTATTGTTCATTTACAACAGGGGTGGCATTCCATTGCGTTTACGTTCTACAATCAAGGAAATAACAACATTTTAACAATATTCCATATCTGGGTATATTTTGACGCACCCTAAAGTTTTTTCAATGTTTTCAACTGGCTTAGATCAAATACTGCGTTTTGAAAGTTTAAACTGCGCGTGCGCAACAAAACCGCCGCCGAAAAAAATCTGATTTGACTTGCGACGATTGCAGGTTGGGAGGCTACGCTTACAACTCGTACCGGCCGCCGTTCGCCGCCGGCCCGCCCTACCCCACCGCCACCTATCCGCCGCCGACGGAAAACTTCGCCACCTTCGCCCAAACGATACCTTACGTTCCCCTCATCTATTCCAGCCCCTTCCATCCGCCCCCCTCGGCGCCGCGCGGCACGCCGCCCGGCTGCTTCAACTGCGGCGCGCGCGCGCACCAGGGCGCCGACTGCGCGCTGCAGAGCATCGAGGAGCTCACCAAGTCCTTTCAGCTCGACTTCAACACCGCCAACCTGATGCCCGATCAAGCGGCCGAGAAATGATATTACGTGTACAGCTTCTACGACGCCGCGGCATAACGAATGTTATTTCTTCTCCCAGTAAGTATCCAGCTCTTATACAGGGTTTTAATTGCGCTCAAGGTGCTGCTGACAAGGAGGTCTTATTTTAAGTAGAAAAGGTCTTTGTGTATTGGTGGCGCCCTCTTCATTTGACATGCGCCAACTACTATCATCGGTGTTGGGATTTCACCCATTCAAATGCACCCGAAAACACTTTGTTACTAAGCGACAAGTTAGCTAAGTACATAATAGTCCAGTCTTAAAACTAAATTTGCACCACCTGACCATTTTTTCTTAAAAATACCTTTTTTTAGTTATTAGCGAATAGCTTAGTCCACCGTGGACTGTCCACGTATATTGCACAATAAAAAGTAAAATAGCAAAATTATTTTTTTTTTAATTTTCAATAATTTTTGTCTGAAGTACACTCACAGGCAAAATAATCGATCCACACAAATTTTCGATGAATTTCAATCGCAAATAACTTTTTTATTTGATGTCGGATTTAAACAAATATTAAAGAATATTGCAGATAAATTAATGGACAATCGCTCAAATTTTAAAAAATTACTAAAAAATAGACGTACGTTTATTATATACAGGTTTAAACAAAAAGATGTTTTTTACCATAAGTTTAAGACACTCTGTAGAATGGCAAAACCGTATATTGTTCTAAATTAAGTTTTATTTATCAAGTCACATCTATTCTTAACAATTTTGTTTTTGGTTCACCTTGATATATTTATTAATATTGGAAATTGCAATGTTTAAAAAAAAACCATATTTTCCACAAAAATAAATATATCAAGGTGAACCAAAAACAAAACTGTTAAAAATAGATGTGACTTGATAATTAAAACTTAATTTAGAACAAAATACGGTTTTGCCACTCTACAGAGTGTCTTAAACTTATGGTAAAAAACATCTTTTTGTTTAAACCTGTATATTATAAACGTACGTGTAATTTTTAGTAATTTTTAAAATGTGAGCGATTCTCCATTAATGTATCTAAAATATTCTTTAAAATTTGTTTAAATCCGAAATCAAATAAAAAAGTTATTTGCGATTGAAATTCATCAAAAATTTGTGTGGATCGATTATTTTGCCTGTGAGTGTATTTTTAAAAGAGTACAAAAATATACACTGTGCGTCAAAATTAACGCATAATAAGTAAAAATATAACTATAAAACGTCTTTACCAATCTTTATAAAATTTTGTATAAAAATACTTCAACTTATATCTCAGTTTACGTGCTCGAGGGTTTTTCACAAAAATATTTTTAAAGCCCTTTTACTTAATAATAAAAAACATTCAAAAATAACTTTTACGGATTTTTTTTTAAGTAAATAAAAAATATTCTGTTAAAGGCCGTATTTTTGTTGGTATACCCTAAAAATTTTGTACAAATCATACGAACAGTAACGAAGATACAGCGCTGAAAAGTGGTCATTTTTGAAGACTTTAAAGCGCTTTATTTTCGTTACTGTTTATTTGATTTGTACAACATTTTCAGGGTATACCAACAAAAATACGATATTTCACAGCATATTTTTTATTTACTTAAAAAAATTCCATGTAAAAGTTTTTTTTCGAGTGTTTAAGGGTATTTTCTCGTAAAACCCTTATACACGCAATTTGAGATATATGTTAAAGTAATTTTATAAAGATTGGTAAAGGCGTTTTAGAGTAGGATTTTTTTTTACTTGTTATGTTGCTTAAAATTAAAAAAATTGTTTTCTTTTTTTACTTTTTGCAAATATTTCGCAAACGGTATGGTTTTATGACAAATTATTATGATTAACATTTTGTACCCCTTTTATTATTCTACAATTTAAAAAAATACAGCTCAACTACTTTAGAGGAAAAGTCTCAGGTTCGTTTTTTTATTGCGGTATTTCATGTAGATCGAATCCACGTCAAAATATATTTATTTTATGTTTATGTAATTTTTTTTGGTGGAAGGGGAAACCATGGTTGGTAGATTTAACATATTTCTTTGTCAGATTCAGTGGCATCTATTTAATGTTTAAACATATTTTCCTGCAAGAAAATTTTCAAACTGCGAAACATTTTAACCCGGCCTTTAATCAAATTCATTTTTTTAATTTTAAAAAATGAATAGAGCTACAAAATGTTTATCGTAATAATTTACCGTAAAATTTACAGTATGTGAAATATTTGCAAAAAAATGAAAAGAAACCAAATTTTATATCTTTGAAAAAAAAATTGTAAGGTGCAAATTTGGTTTTATGCTTTTTACATAAGCTGCTATCAATTCATGAAAAAAACTTTCAATTTAGCTTAAACTGTCAACTTTTTTTACTCAAAATAATTCCTTCTAGCCAACTCGAGAATTTTCCAGATTTCTCTTAAAAAACTTGGTGCAGTGTGATTTGGGACAGTTACCGTACTGTTTAGCGAAAAAAAAACCGTTGTGTAATATAAGTTGAAAAAATTATGTAATTATGTATAAAGTTTATTTTGTTGCTTTAATCACAAAACAGTGAAAATCTTCTTTTTATGCTTTTCTTCTCTGCCATTATGCTGCCTAATTTCTATATATTTTTTTCTTAACATGGGGTAGTTTTTTTTTATACGTAATGTCGAATCGTGATCATTAATTGTGACGTCAAGTTTTAACTTTGTTGTCAAATTTGTGTTTCTTGAAGTTTGCTACTTTCTATATGGAATGCAACAAACCAATCAGAGCACGGCATTATCCATCGCACATAGTTTGCTGTGGAAAATGCCGTGCTCTTATTTGTTTATTGATTTCCATCATTTTTTATTGCAAATTTCAAGAGGTTAAGTGCAAAGAAATGTCAATGAGGCTGTCAATTGTTTGACGTCACGACAATAAAAACATTTTCAAAAAAAAATAACTTCCCTTAGAAAGAAAGGCATTAAAACTGGATTTTTCAAACACTGTATTTTAACTCGTATCGTCGCGGATATTTTAGAATCGGTTATTTTGTACATATCTAGTGCCTGTTAATTTATAAATCAAAAAAACCTAAAAACTATTAAAAAAATTACGAAAAAAAATCGTTAAAATTTTAATGTGACAGTCTATTTATTATCTAAGATATGTACAAATCACGTTATCGGTTTTCTCTATTCTCTCTATTAAGTTTTTTGTGCACTGATTTTTTATCTATTTTTTTAAATGTTTTTAATAAAAACTTTTACCAAATTATTTAATATTAGTGAGCCAGCTCGATTTGCTACTTTTATATTTTAATCATTTTCATATTCAATAAAATAAACATGTACTTATTTCTTTATATACAGTTTGCCATCCATTTTAACACATTCTCAATTCTCAATTAATGTTGTTAATTTTAAAAAGTAATTTATTATTTTTATTTTTAAGCCTACTATTTATACAAATCTACATGACCGTATTTTAATATACCTAAAAAATTACAAGTAATATCAATTATTAAAAACTATTGTCTGCAATGTGTTTATATTTATAATCAAACCAAGATTGTAAACCTTGGCTTTGTTAAAAATTAAGGCATTTAAGTGTTTTTTGCTTTTGTTAGACTAATAATAATATTTTTATACACTAAAAAAATAAAATAGGAAAAATACCTATATCTGTTATACATGTGAATAATGAATTAAAACATAGTTCTACACGTCAGTGAGTAAACACATTGTATGTTATTATCTAGATAATTATAGCAGTCATATTTCTTTAATTAAATTTAAATCAACGATTGTAAATTAAAAAATCTATTGATGTGAATATATTTTTGTATTAAAAATAAATTAATTCTAAGAGGTATTTAATGCTTGTAATATTTTTTCTTAAATTTTAAAAATAAAAGACCAAATATTAAAAAACACACTTATATTATTTCTTACCGTTGTGATAAATTTGGTTTTCAATTAATAGAAAGTCCTACAAAAAACAAACTTACTTTAATTTTAAGACAAATTGTGAGTATAATTACCAATAATTAATTTATAAGAATGTATGTTGATTTGTTGTGATTTTTGTTATTCTGTTTTAAAGTCAATATTGTCTTTCTATATATATTGTTTTGTAAAATATCACCATTTTACTGTATATAGTAACTAAGTTACAAAAAAATAGTTATTAAATATTGATATATTTATAATACAATCAGTATGTGACTGAAAATTTAACTTAAAAGCTAAATTTAAGAAATAAAGATTTTCTAACAAACTTGGCTTTTCTTTCCAAACCCCCTCCCCAAAACAATTGCCTACAATTTGGTTAAGTTTTTTAGTGACATTATACAACTAAAAATCCGATATTTGGTCAAGATACACATACAGTGTTATACAAAACATGTGCTAAAGCTTAGTTTTCAAGATATTAAAATGAATTTTGTTGAAATTTGTTAACAATATTTGTCAATTTTCTTCAAAATGGTTTGATTTATCAAAAAAATAAGAGGTAGTTTTTGTTTAACTGGAAAAAGGTGCAAAATACGCGTTTTGTCAATTTTCATGCAATGATAATGCTTCTTTTTTTTCTGTCAAATACGAGGTCAGATCCAAAAACAACTCATAAGACAAAAAAGCTTAATCATAAAAAAAAATTGCAAAAAAGTCAGTGGCGTACATTTTTTTGACATTAATACTCGTTAAGGTGCCTCCTAGGAAGCCACTGAATTTTAATCTAGTTAAAGCCACAATCCACACAACAAGGCATACTAAAAATTACTGCACAGAATCTAACGGCGGCCATTTTTATGTTGTTTACCATTCTTGTGCTGTTTATACAGATTATTCCGTGTTTCTTACAGAGGCACTTGTAAGCCTCAAATGAGGATTAAAAGTGCTAAGAACAACCATTTTACTTCTCTTTTGGTAAAAATAAACTTATTCTATCAGGGCTGTCGTCAAATTTCAATTTTAAGGTTAATTTACTTTAACCAACAAATTTAAATTTGACAGTTTATTTTTACCAAAAGAGAAGTAAAATGGTTGTTCTTAACACCATATGGTTATATAAGGCCTCATTTGAAGCTTACAAGTGCCTCTGTAAAAAACACAACGTTTAAAACGATTTTTAATCTGTATAAACAGCACAAAGTTTGTGCCACAAACCCAAGAATTGTAAAAAACAAAAATGGCCGCCGTTAGATTTTGTGCAGTGATTTTTAATATTTTTTTTATGCGCGAATCGAAATAGAACAGACCTTGTTGTAAGCCTCAAATGAGGATTAAAAGTGCTAAGAACAACCATTTTACTTCTCTTTTGGTAAAAATAAACTTATTCTATCAGGGCTGTCGTCAAATTTCAATTTTAAGGTTAATTTACTTTAACCCACAAATTTAAATTTGACAGTTTATTTTTACCAAAAGAGAAGTAAAATGGTTGTTCTTAACACCATATGGTTATATAAGGCCTCATTTGAAGCTTACAAGTGCCTCTGTAAAAAACACAACGTTTAAAACGATTTTTAATCTGTATAAACAGCACAAAGTTTGTGCCACAAACCCAAGAATTGTAAAAAACAAAAATGGCCGCCGTTAGATTTTGTGCAGTGATTTTTAATATTTTTTTTATGCGCGAATCGAAATAGAACAGACCTTGTTGTGTGGATTGTGGTTAAAGCAAAATTACCTCCCAATAAATTTTAATTTTTTTTTAAAAATTCGTCATGTAGTTTTTTATGTTAGTCTAAAAAAAATATTGCGATTTTCAAAAAAACAAGCCTATCATCTGAGCCATCCAACTTAACATTAATTTTATAACGCTCGGGGAGTAAAAACGGATTTACAGTGTGTGACGTCAGTCGGGCTCGAACTTCGTGTAAATAAACTACGTAAAAATTAAATAAGATGTATTTATTTAACTAAAAAATACAAAGCATATAATATATGAAAAAAAGTAAACCACACAGATTTAAATAAATGTCTAGGGGAAACCATCATCATCCTCTTCAGCCATTTCCTTGGCAAGTTCTAAATCTTGCTGTTCCCTTTCGCGGCGTTCCTCTGCAGACTCCAACTCTTTACCATAAGCCTTTGGAGGGTATCTCATAGCTTTAACACTTTGATTATGCAAATCGAGACAGAATGAAATACGTTGATGGAAGGCCATTTGGGGTTCTTTTGTGCAGTAGATGTCGGTGCTTTCCTTGCTTCGCATATAACCCCCCTGGGGGTCCAAAGTTGCTTCGATAACCCCATCACGAATGGCCTTAGCTACGATAAATTCGGCATCTTCAGCAGAGTCCAGGCCTAGTTTTTTAGCAATATCTTGTGGGGATATTCTTGAGTATGACAATCCAATGGATCTTATAGCGGTTTTGATCACGTTGTGGCGCAAACGCAGGATCAGGGTGAAAGTGTGGTCGGCTCGGAATTGGGGCCCAAAGTTCTCCAAAACTTCCCCAAATCGTTGCAAATTTCCCATACGCACTGCCTGAGTGAGTTGGAAGTATGGGGCCAGAGAATGCCTCATACTAGCCTGTCTGAATATTTGACGCTCAGGGATATCACCCAATAATAACTCTACAACCACCAGTAACTTCTGTACTGTTTGCCTGAAACCGACAGCGGCGTTTTGCGGAGATTTTCTCATAGCTTGCACCAAATGTTTGTGGGCCACACTGTACTCCAACCTGGCAGCCTTAATTCTGCCTAAATAGTACAGAAATCTTGCCCACTCATTGTTACTTGCAGTTTCAGGAAAAACGCATTTGCTCACCAATTTATCTGATTGATCGTATAGAGAGTAATGCAGATAGTTTCTTAATAGGCAGTTTATAAGCACAGCTTGCCCTTCAAAGTCATTTCTCAGTGTGGCTGTTCTTAACCGTGCATGTAGGAACGCACGAATTGTATCAAGTTTGTCGGTTAATTCGGCGACGCGGGAGTGGTAGAAATAGCATTTAGCTGCAATATGATCCGAAGTACGTCTGTTTTGACTGGTGATTTTACCCATTAAAGCCTGGGAGCACCGTAAGGCTTCTTCTAGTTTGTTTGTATCAATCAAACGTACCAGAATGATGAGATGGATGTACAAGTCAACTTCCGACACGGGGGTTTTAGTTGCTGATCTCGCCCTCGTCTGAGAATCAATCTCAGACCCTACAGCCTCTTCAACAAAAGACAACAAAGCTTCCCGTTCGGACAAAGGATATATCTGGGAGATCAAACTTCTCAGCACTATACCGTTCAATTTGCGTCTCGTGTTCGGCAAGCACCTCAAAACCCTCAAAATAAAGCGGTTTTCTTTATTCGCCACCGCTTTTTCGATTTGTCTTGCTTGCTCGCGAATTTCCATCACACCCTGTATATCCGTGTCCCTTTTGCTGTCGCCGCCCTCCAAACCTGGCGGGCTGTCTGCGTTCTTCATTTCCACGTCTGCTTCGATCACACCCATACTTTATTATGAATTTTTTTCAAAGTTAAAGAAAAACAACAATTCGACCGACTTGTCAAATTTTGCCGTGTAACGCACCTTGGACCACAACCCCGCCGACCTACTTTACCGGCTGTATTTTCGACACAAAAGTATATCTTTATTTCCTATATTTAATAAATATTAAATATCTAATTCCTTTAAAGTGCAAAGTTTATCATATTTAGGTCATTTTTGCCAAAATACATGCAACTTCGTTAAATTTTGTATATCATGATACTCATCACCACCTATTATTGAGCGGATAAACTAAAAAAAATCGAATTTAATCCTATAGATGTCGCTATTTTAACATTACGTTTTTGAGGTTAAGAAAGTGTCAAAAGTTTAAAAATACCGTAAAAATTACCATTATTCGCCAAACAATCATGTAAATAGCACGTACTGGCACTAAGAAAGTATAATTTAAGTGTTTCTGTGTTTAAATGGATAGAGGACGGTAAATAAAAAGATTCAATAATGATTGAATATTGTGCAATATATTATTTACTTTAGGTTCTCGTTATTGCAATTGGATCCGGGGGAAATTTATTTCGAAGATTTCAGTGTAATTTTTATACCTTCCGATACGACCCCAAAGACTTATGATTGCAAAAAACAGGATGGCAGACTTAAGATGTGCTCGAAGTCATTATTATTTGATCCCAAGGATATTAACAAACCCATTATTAAAATACCACTTAAGGACTGTGTAATCATAGAACAATGGAAAGGGAGCGCAAAATTTTTAAAAAGCAACAATGTTCTAAGTGTGAACACCAGGGAATACATTGAAATGTTGGAAGGGAATGTTGTGGCTCCCTATAAGTTTAAAGAGTCTGCGAATTTTTTGTTTTTGTTGAATTACGCGAATATTATGAATTGTTTGCCGCAAATTTGTCAGCTGCATAGGGCCAGCACTTTACCAGCAGCTGAACAAGCAGATATGGTAAGTAGTTGTGTTTAAACCAAGTTCTTTGGTTTAAACTTTAAAATCAGGGTGGCAACACTGTATGAAACACCATTGTGTTGATTCATTTTTTGGAATTTTGTAAATGATATGAATAAGAATAAGATAAGAATTTTAATAATACAAAACTTAAATTTTTATTTTCTTCTGAAAAGTATTTTAAACTTGGCAACTCTGTGTAACTAGTAAGCTAAAATAATGCATATCTATAATGTATAAACAGTTGTTATAGAAACAATTTAAAAAGAGCAACTGAGGTTTTCATGGTTGACAAATGTAGGTTTTCCTGACACTATAAACAAATCAAACTTTACATTATTGTATGTAAACAAATTTTAACTTCCTATTTTTGAACATCATTAGAAAATTGTTTTTTATAAATTAATAGTCTAAAATAATAAAAATAAATTTCAATTTGACTTAAAATCTATATATTCAATTTGACTTAAAATCAAAACAATATTCAGTAATTTTTGCGTTATTTTTGGGATCCCCTGTATAATGTTTAACAAAAAAAGGAATTAATTTATAAACTTTTAAATTTATTTTTAACTTTAAGAGCCTGTATTTGCATTTTTAGTGTGGGCAAGACAAAACAAAGACTTTTTTATTAAAAAGTGTAAAAAAAGTAGAAGTCAAAAAAATGTTTTTTCCAATGGTTTAAAACTTTTCAATAATTTACATATAAAGTATTGTGATAATTATAATATTTTTAAGAAAATGTTGCGCAATTATGTAAAAAATATATATTAGTTGTAAACAAATTGTTATAAATAGCATGGCTAAATAAACTATATTTCATTTTATTTTTATTTTTTTTAATAGATTTAATTTATTAATATTTACAAAATTATGAGTTTAGTTTACGTTTTCGATGTTTTTCCGAGAAAATATTTTTAAAGCCCTGTTATTTAATAATAAAAAAACGTTTGAAAAATAAGTTTTAGGGAATTTTTTTCAAGTAAAGAAAAAATACGCTGTTAAAGGACCTGGATTTTTTTTACAAATCTAACGAACAGTAACGAAGATACAGCGCTTTAAAGTCGGTAAAAATAATCACTTTTTGATTATTTTGATGAAAAGTTATTTTTTACGACTTTGAAGCGCTTTATGTTTGTTTTGTTACTGGGTTTGATTTGTACAAAATTTTCAGGGTATACTAACAAAAATACACAGCATATTTTTTTATTTACCTATGAAATATATTTTTTTTCGAGCGTTTTTTTAATATTAAATAAAAAGGCTTTAAGGATATTTTCAACACGTAGGTAAACTGATTATTTTTATACAAAATTTTATAAAGATTGGTAAAGGCGTTTTAGAGTTGGATTTTTTTTACTTGTTATGCGTTAATTTTGACGCGCAGTATACATGATTCATATTAAAATTATTTTTAGATAGCCGCTATTGTACATTCCAGACAGGCGAGAGTGAATTTTGACCCTTTGTGGTTAGATTTATATGAAAAAGTAATTTTTGAGGCACAAGCCGACAAGGTGCAACCTTTAGTGGTTAACCCAGGGAGAATTGTTTTGTCCACCTCTAGATTGTTTTTTCAGACTTACAATAATGTAGAAACGGTAAGTTATAAAATAAAATTTGTATTTATTTATAAAATTTAAATAAAAAATCTTTTTTAGCATCCAGTAATTAAAATAGACTTGGCCAGTATTAAAAGGATTGTAAAAAGAAGATTTCTACTGAGGCATATTGTAATAAATTCTTATAAAACATATTTTTACCAACTAATAATATTTTTTAGGGTCTTGAAATATATTGCAATGACAACAGCACAAATCCCCACATATACCTCTCCTATAGAAATCGACAGGATAGGGATAATTTTTATGAGAAAATTTTTGAACAGCCCGAGCTGAAAATCAATGAAATTGGTCAGGATGTTATGACTCTTCAGTGGCAAAACGGTATCATATCGAATTACGAATATTTGGAGTACATTAATAGGTTAGTGCTTATTTTTAATTTATTTTGTGTTTGTTTATTTGGCCTTCACAATTTGAATCATTTATATTATTTACTTACGTACCTATTGTTGTGAAATTTGATGATATTCTAATCTGGTTTTGCTATTTGTTGAAAAATATTTTGTTGACAGATCTGCTTTAATAGTATATTAAAGTACAAGTTGCAGAAGGCCACATATTCTCGCACGAATTCGAAATTTGGCCTCGAGCGACGAAGGAGCGAGTGGACGAACGAATGAGTGCGAGAATAGCCTTCTGCAACGTGTGATTTATACTATTTTCTCGATTTTAACTTTTATTTAGGTTTTTTTAATTGTTTTGTGGTCGTTGTTAGTTAGGGGATTTTTCTCGCAAAATGTCAGTTGGCAACACAAAATGACAATATTTGTTATCCTGCACAAGTACAACCTGAACTGCACTTTTACACATTAAACTTAAAATTTTGCATTAAAATGCATTGTTGGAGCAAACTTTATATTACAAAACAATAATAAAGGCTTCATTTTCAATAAAAGTAATGAATTTGAGGTTATTAATCAGTTTGACATTTTGGGGGTACCAATACTTAAAAACTAAATGTTACCAAAAATCGTTTAAGAATGAGCTTCATTCTTCAACGATTTTGCGTGCGAGAATATGACATTCTTATATAAAAATCGAGAAAATATTATTTTTTGAGGAAAATAGTATATTAAAGTACAAGTTGCAGAAGGCCACATATTCTCGCACGAATTCGAAATTTGGCCTCGAGCGACGAAGGAGCGAGTGGACGAACGAATGAGTGCGAGAATAGCCTTCTGCAACGTGTGATTTATACTATTTTCTCGATTTTAACTTTTATTTAGGTTTTTTTAATTGTTTTGTGGTCGTTGTTAGTTAGGGGATTTTTCTCGCAAAATGTCAGTTGGCAACACAAAATGACAATATTTGTTATCCTGCACAAGTACAACCTGAACTGCACTTTTACACATTAAACTTAAAATTTTGCATTAAAATGCATTGTTGGAGCAAACTTTATATTACAAAACAATAATAAAGGCTTCATTTTCAATAAAAGTAATGAATTTGAGGTTATTAATCAGTTTGACATTTTGGGGGTACCAATACTTAAAAACTAAATGTTACCAAAAATCGTTTAAGAATGAGCTTCATTCTTCAACGATTTTGCGTGCGAGAATATGACATTCTTACATAAAAATCGAGAAAATAACTTATTTAACAATAAATTAAATAAACGTCCAACCTCCTATCTTGTCATGGGTCATTTCATTGTTTCAGGTGTTACATTTGTTTAACCAAAGTCTAAATTTTTATGTATTTTGAAATAACAAGTGCCTTATTCTCTACGCTTTAGTTGTTTTATCTAACGATAACGATTTTATAAGTCAAAAAGTGTGCGTTTCGGGTGTTTCACGATTCTGTCTCTATGTCCTGACCATTGTTACATTTATTTGAAATTCAGCGAATTTTCTTATAAAAATATTCCTAAAAATTACAGGCTTCCAAAAGTATAATATTTACTAACCATATACCACATAATCACTGTCACAAATAACGTTTTAACATTTTTTTTATAAAAAAATATTTTGTTTCGGGTGTTACCATGGTTCTGTTTCGGGTGTTACAAGCACAAAAATTAAACACTAAATGGACAAAATCGGTGTTTTATTAGTCTTTAGGTAGGTACTACAAAATAAGTTAGTAGCAAATAAAGAAAAATAGAATGAATTGTCCTTAAACATAACTTAATAATAAATATATATATATAAATAAAAAAAATCGGTAGAAACATAATTATTTACGAAAATTACACTAATCAATCTGTAAGGTGTAATAATAAAACAATTACATGACTTTTTGTTTCGGGTGTTACAGTGGCAAAGTAAGAAGAAAAAACACTTATAACCTGGTAATTATCAATTTTTTCGGGACTGTGACGCAATCCACCAATACTATGATAAATAATCTCAAATCACAACGTGATAGATTGACAGTTTTTTTTCGTATTTCCAATAGTTAGAGGCACAATCATTCAGCCAGTTCTTTTGAGTACAGATTTTGAAGACTAATTAACTTAAAAATTACGCGTTTTTTCTAGTTTTTTGTCGCACATTATAATTTGGAATGTTTTTTTTTCAAAATTCATTAGTTTCCCTGATAACAAAATTTGATTCTAAGAATCTTCTAAGAATATTCTAAGAAGATATGACCCGGAATAATGGAATATTCTTAGAACCTTCCCTTATTGCTAAGAATGTTCTTAGGGACTTTTTAAACATTCAATTGATACCCTTTTAATGATGCAATTAGATTCTTAGAAGCTTCTTAAAACGTTCTTAGAAGGTTTCTTATGGAGCTTCTAGGAAACTTTTGAGAATATTTCCAAATATGTCAGATACCCAAGTTCCAATATGTTGGATTCTACATTCGTAAAATTCTTCAGGAGGCGACAAATACGCATCACTGTCTTAATATGACAGTGAAATGTATTTGTGGTCCCCTTAAAAAATTATCGACATATTAATATAAATTTATTTAAAAATATTAAATAAACAAGTTGACCTCTAAACCATAAGTTGTATGACATTTTTTCATAAAAAGTAAAATTGGAAAATTTTGTGGGATAAGTCAGATTAGATTGAAGTTGAAGAATAGAAATAAAAAATCGGTATACAAATTAATAAATATTTATTTTTAACACAAAATAATATATTAAAAAAAATATTTCCTTATAAAATAATTCTTCATAAAAGAAAAAACCAAATAGTTCTTCATAAAAAAAACATTTTTCATTGTATTTAAGTTGTATAGAAGATTTTATGTAAAAGCCGGATAATTTAGATACCTATTATAACAAAAATACTTTTACTATAATAGTAAAAGTATTTTTGTTATCGAATATTGTTTTAATTTGACAAATAACTATAAAAAAATATTTTGGGTTGTGTTTTTTACTTTTTTATTTAATACTAAGTATAGGCAACTTTATTCGTAGATTAGGGTATTTTTTACTATTATATAGGTACCTAGCTGAACTGAATATGCTTAACAGAATGTTCCAGGAATATTACTAAATGAACTTTCTATAGCAATTACTTTCTCAACATTCTAAGCATATCGTCACCTGAGAATTATAGTGTTCTATCTGCATTTTTTTTTTTTATTCAGGTTAGTCTTGTTTTAAGTATTAAAGATGGATATTGTTCTATCTATATATAATTGGGTTAGAAATTGTACAGTTTAAGACTTAAACTTTACAATTTCTACCCCAATTATATATAGATAGATCAATATCATATTTAAGACTTAAAACAAGACTAACCTGAATAAAAAAAAGAAAATGCAGATAGAACACTATAATTCTCAGGTGACGATATGTTTAGAGTGGATTAGTTTTTACCACTAAACTTTGCACCTTCTAAGAACCTGCCTATAGGCCAGTGAGAATATATAGCATGATCCTAAGAATATTCTCAGTGGAAGGTTTAAAAAACATTCTTAGAACATGACTAGAAGAAATATAGCATGATCCTAAGAATATTCCCACTGGAAGGTTTAAAAAACATTCTTAGAATAAACTGTGCTATCAGGGTTAATGCGAAAAGAATATATTTATTTTGTAATTGAATGATCCTCATAAATGTGCTCCCAAAACAATACCTTGTGGAACACCCACTTTATTTTCATTTTATGCTATTAGCTTTATTTAACACACAGTTCCTGAAAACTTATTTCAGCTTAGGAGACCGAACAGTCAACGACTTAACCCAATATCCAGTATTTCCTTGGATAATATCCAATTACACATCGGATGAATTGGACTTAGAAGATCCGAGTAACTATCGGGATCTTTCAAAACCGATTGGGGCTTTATGCGAGGAGCGCCTCAAGCGCCTATTGGAGCGCTACAACGAAATGCCGCCTCCCAAGTTTATATACGGATCTCACTACTCCACCCCCGGCTTCGTTTTGTACTATTTGGCAAGGTTGTATCCACACTACGTCCTATGCTTGCAGAGCGGTAGATTCGATCATCCGGACCGGATGTTTAACTCTTTGGCGGATGCGTACAAGAATTGCAACACGAACATGTCGGATTTTAAAGAGTTGATACCGCAGTTCTACGACGTCACGCAAGAGGGCAGGTTTTTGGTGAATAACATGGGTATTAATTTCGGGTATAGGCACAATAGCGCGAAGGTTTCCCACGTTAAACTACCGCAGTGGGCCAATAGTCCCAGGCATTTCGTTGAGGTACTCAGAGATGCTTTGGAGAGTGATGTAGCCTCGAAAAATTTACACCTTTGGATAGATCTCATTTTTGGATACAAACAGAAAGGGGAGGAAGCCTTAAAAGCCCACAATCGTAAGTTTAAAACTGATTTTTAGAATGTCCAATGTAAGTAATTTTTCAGTGTTCTATTATTTATGCTATGAAGGAAACGTGGACTTGGAGTCTATAACAGACTTAAACCAAAGACACGCTCTCGAAGTGCAAATAATGGAATTCGGGCAAATCCCAAAACAAGTTTTCAAGGTACCTCATCCTCAAAGAAAAGTAGGAATACCTCTAAACAAAGAGCCATACCAAATAGAAAAAACATCTGCCTTCAGCGACAACTGGAAAACCATGTCGAATTTAGAACTGGTTACCAGTTTTAACTCGCATAAGGGAGCCGTTAATTTTTTGTTTATAAATGAGGATGGAACAAGAATTACGTCTGTTGGTCATGATTCAAAGTTGAAGGTATTTTCGCTACCTCAAAATAAACAGACCAGATCCGCTAATATTGGAAATATGCCTTTGAGTAGCTGTATACAGCTTCCAAATGTCAACGTGCTTGTGATAGGCAGCTGGGACAATCAAATGTAAGACTTTTTTATTAATTTTCGTGCTCTAGAATATTTTTTAGTGTTTTGTATGATATGGACTATGGAAAAGTGACGGAAACAGTTTTGGCTCACGAAGACGCCATTACGTGTATGTCGTTTGGGTTTAAGTGTAACTTGTTGGTATCTGGAAGTGGAGATTGCACGGTGAAAATTTGGAAAGGCTTGAATACCAATGGCATCATAAAGCCCATACAATGCCTTCAAAAACAAATCGACCATAATTCCCATGTGAACTGCCTAACCTTTAATTTGTAAGTAAGATTTTGTTGTTGTTTTGTTGTGTGCTCCCGAAAGGCAACCTTGCGGAACACCCGTGTAATCTTCCTCATTTCAGCGAAAATACGTACTTAGCCGTGGGCACGGATGACGGCGAAATCTACATCTGGAACACCGAAGACTTCGCTTTGTTCAAAAAATACCAAGTCCTCGAGTCTTCCATAAAAGCGATCAGCTATAGCCCCGACGGCCTGAAGTTGGCCTTGGGTGGTACCGATAAGGTTTTTAAAATTATCGATGTTACCTCTGGTTTGTCGGTGTGCACGAAAACTTTGAAGTCTCCGATCACGAGTTTGAAATGGATGGATTATTTGGTGGTGCTTGGATGCGAAGATGGCGTTGTGTATGTTTGGGATATTTTCGAGGTTAAGTTGCTGTTTGAGATTCAAGCGCATGAAGGTAACTTTTTTGTATACATTGCATATTAAAACGAGTAGATACACTTAAATAAAACAAGTGCCAAACCCCGCCCACGTTGAACATTGGGAGATATTAGTCCTGAAATGCTGTTTAACGTGTGCAGGAATTTTTATGATAGGCTAGGGTATTGTTTAACTGCTGCTGGTGGTCTATTTGAACATTTAATTTAGAAAAAAAGTTATTCTCGTTATTTTAGAATTATTTTTGTTTGAGAATTTATAGGTTTTATTTTTATCAAATTCGTTTGTTTTGTTTTAATGCATTTCTGCAAATAAAAACTAAGTATTGTTTAAAATCCATTAAATTCCAGTTAATGGCGAAAATGTATTTCTTAAAAACTATACACATTTCCTTAAGACCGCGTCTGACCTACTGAACAAACACAGTAGATCAAACTGCATGCCCTTGTATCTGGCTGCATGCCGCGCTGTTGCCATATGCTATTATTTTTTCCTAAAAGGGTGGTTTTTCATTTTTTAATATTAAAAGTAAGAAAATTAACTAAATCAAATTATTTTTGACATATTATTATTTTTTTTGTTATTTTTAAAGTTTCAAAGAAATAAAATTGAACTATTTATTAAATAATTATAATCGTTCTCTTCTGATTTAAAACAACCTGGCAACTATGGTTCGTAATTACGAATGGCTTGGTTTAAACCACGCCCAATTAAAGTTTGTTTCTTTTTCTCTGATCAGAATATAATCCTTGTCTCCAGCCTTACTTATAAGTATACTTGATTCTATAGAGTCCATACACCATACACTTAATTTTTTTTGCTTTTAGGTTTTGTAAAGACTGTAGACATATCATTCGATCGAAGTTTCATTGTGACTGGTAGTCAGGACCGTTCAATCAAAGTGTGGAAACCACAATAAAAAATTTTAAAGTGAAAGTTTATAATTGTTGTATTTTATACTTAAATACCGTTGTTTTATATTGTGATATATTTTTATTAAAAGCTTTATTGTACAAGGCATTTTTGTTTTTCCTATACCTACTATAAAAATTTTAATATAAAACATTCTAAATACTTCATGAATTCAGTCATGAATTTTTCTTTTACAAAAGCAAGCAGCGCTGCAATTTCTAGCCCGGTCTCTTCCCTCGGCAGTGTCGGTATAACATAACCATCCAGGGCTGTATTTGTATAATTGTCTGCAATTTGCCCATTGGTCGGCGTACGCGCAAACATTTTTACACAGTTTTCCATGGTGGCAATGTTTTTTGCAGGAGTTGCAAGGTTTTCCTCTTCTGTAAGGTTTTCCCACCCTTTTTGGACGATTTCCACTAAAAATAATATTAGAGCCTATACAGGATTTCCCATAAATAACGTGCAATACTTTAACAGCAGATTAAACGTATAAAAGTAAAAAAAAATCCTATAAACATAGGTCAAGAAATGCTTCCTAAGCCCTCAAAAAAGGAGCCCCTGTAGATGGTTTTTATTTAATACCTCCAAAATCGTTTAAGATAAAAACGTAAAATTTTGGGAATTGATCAAACTTTTTATGGCCAATTTTAAATTTTCCTTAAGAGATTGGTCAGATACATAGGGAGTAAGGGTAAAACCACCCTAACATTTTTGTACGTATCTTGTCCCAGAATTTGATGTCATATTTTATTTTGGAGGTTTACAAACTAAAATGTCCTCTTGTTAAACTTCGATAATAATAAAAATCGATTTGAAAATTACATTACTTGGCATAAAAATTCATAATGTAACAACCAGAGAAAAAGATTCAGCTTGGGCAATGGAACACAGTTGCCATGTTTAGGAAAAATTATATTTTGAATAATTATTCAAGACAGGTGAATTTTATGCCAATAAAACAGGGATTTTAATCAATTCTCAAAATTTCATTTTAGTATCTTGAACGGTTAGTTTTTGAAGGAACTTTTTTCTGTTTTTTACGTATAATCTGCTGTTAAAGTATTGCACGCTAATTATGGCTCACCCTGTAAAAGGATGCCCCAAAATTGGCGGATTAGCCCCGTGTTCGAATTGTTAGAATGTAGGTAGGCAACCCAGATAACAAATATTGCGACGGCGGTTTTAAACGTTAATTAATTAATTAATTTAATTCCTTCAATTATACTAATTCGAAAATAAGGTAAAAATTTTTTATTAGAATTTCAAGAGGAAAAATATATCGATTTTAAATTTTAAAAGATTTAAATCCATTTAAGTCTATTTTTATAAAATATTTTAAACAAAATTTCACTTCTGGTTTAACCGGATTCTACTTAAAATTCTGAGTAAAGTTACTATACCTAAATTTAATAGTTTTAGAGGTATTAACTTTTTATATTGGCCTATTTTGTCCAGGGTTTTCTTAGGTAATTTGTTGGAAAATTGACATGGAATCTTTTAGACAATATTTTAAGATTCAAAAAATTCCACCGCCATATCCGCAAACCTAATAACAAAAAAATTATAGGCTATTTATGATTAACGCATATTTGTCAAATTTTAACGAAAACAAATAAATAAAGTTATTCCAGTTCTGGAAAACTATTCACTTTAGATATAGGACATAGTATAGTAATTTTACTCAGATTTACAATTGAATTACTGAATTTAAAATTTTTTAAATAACAAAGTTGATATATATATTTTAGAAAAATAGACTTAAATGAGTTATAAACGCTTTTAAAATTTAAATCAATATTTTTTTCGCTACCCAGAAACATCTAATGAATCACGAATGTAAAACACCCTGTACATAGGGGTAGGTTTAAAAGTTAGTGTGCCTAATATTTTCTTACATTGGACAATAGTTGCAGACGTAGTTGTAGTAAACTTTTCCTGTAAAATTTCCGAAATGATTGCATTTTGTTACACCACAACCAACTTCGTGGGTAGCTGCCCAAACCATCTGGGTATAATGCCCAACCAAAGTTAGATTGTTTTTAGTACCAAAAGTGAACAGATCCTTTTCCAGCCACCAGGTTTTTATGGCAAATAACCTTGAAAAAAAAAGTTAATGTTAGACATACACAATTTAAAAATAAAAAAAATAATTTAGAATATCAAACGTATAGTTTTAAATTTTGATAAACTTTAAACCCTATTTTAGAATGTCAAACATGATCAAAAATATAAAAACTTAAGTGAAATATTTACCAAGGTACTTTATGGGAGGCTATAAAAATATTCTGTCCACAAGAACCATACTCTTTTATAAACCTCCCAGTGGTATTATCATGGTTCAACATCATGCACTCATCAGCCCATTTTTGCGCGGCTTTCGCTGCACCTTTATGCCATTTCTAAAAATTTGAACCAAATTATAATTTTTCAAAAAAAAAAATATCTTTATTATTTCTTATTCTCTAACGTACTCAAAAGTAGACGCACCATCCTTAGCATGTTGGCAGCCGGAGGACTCACTTGGGTCCTGAAAAAATTGTGGTAAAGGACGATTTTGTCCTGGATCCTTTTCCTGTGCGTGCTTAAGGATCTAAACGGGATTAAGTCTCCCATCACTTGAGGTCCTTAAATATGTTTTTAGATTAGTTTTATTTTAAAGGCAAAAATATGGTATTGCGATAAAAATGTTATCTAATACTCACTTCTTTGCGGGTTAAAATTACCGAATTCTCTGGAAATGTCTATGGTGCAGATAAGGATAAGAAACGTTGGGTATAAGTTACTTAACATCTTAAAGCTACAACTAAAAAAAATGTTATTAATTTCACTGGGCAACAAACATTTTGCTGCAAGGTGACATTAACTTTTTCTTTGAATGATTAAAAATATACACAGGAACTTTATTTTATTATAATTTATGCATTAAATCTGTTTATTAGATTAAGAATTAATTGTTTGTATTAGACAGCTTGGAACCATTTGTTGACCTATACTTTTTAAGTGAATCATCAAACATTGACCTGTATAAATACTATAAACTAATACTACAGGGTGTTATGTAATTAATGTAATATTTTAAAATAATTTATAATAACCTTTATCCTACCAAAATGTACGCTACTGATCAACTAGGAACTTTAGGCCAATCTGGTTGCCTAATTTAATTTATTATGTTATGGTTGGTAACAACCAGCGTTTCCAGGTTCTGTCAAAAAAGTTGCCAAATTTTGTCTTAATTTAGCTTAATTACAAAAATGACAAAATCAACAATGCAAATTGTTAATTTGGCGTTTTTATTAATTGTTTATTATGTCATTTTTGTAATAAAGGTAAATTCAAACAAAATCTGGCAACATTTGACAGAATCTAGTGCATTTCTTTCAAATTTTAGGTTATGTGCTCAAATTGTAAATATCTTAACTAAGGAAAGTGCTTTTGGATTTATTTACACAAATTGAATGTTTAAAGTTTAATCGGTGAACTTTTCCTAATTTCATCTGAGTAAACAGAAAGAAAAAAACCGATGAAAAAATTAATTTTGGGGTTATGGAGTTTTTAAAATAGGTACTAAATTTTATAATTATTCCTTAAGCTAATAGCTGGATGAGTAAATAAATACAGAAGGGTATTAGAGCTTTAAGGCCATACAACTTTTGTATTTATTGAGTTTTTGATTATTTTTTGCAAGAAAAATTTTTAGTATTAATTTTTTATAACTGGCAAAGCGCAGCTACTTTGTTGGTTGGTATGATACCAATATTGGTACATAGATACCATATGGTATCTATGTACTCTACACACAAGTGTGTAACCAGTGGCGTATCACAAAAATATAAAAAACTTCTAATGCACATTTTTTCTTTATCTTTGGGAAAATATTTTTTTAAATATTTTGTTAAAAGGTATTCAGTATTTTAATATATTACATTAATGACATAACACCCTGTATACAAAAACAAAAATATTGTCAAAAAAATTAATTCTTAAAAATAATACTTACTTTTTTCTCACCAATTAACTTGTTATCACAAAACTTAAAAACTAACTAACTTGATATGCATATACCAAGTGTATACTCCAGGGAATCTAGAGTGTATGTGGCAAGACGCATCTTAAATATCACGGATAAAAAACTTTTAAGTTGGCAAAATTAATTCAACGGTTTTTATATCTGCTACATCATACTATTATGACTTCGCATCGACATTGATAAATGAGTATTAAATAGATTCGTCCCAATTAAATTACATACATGGCCAATTAATTAAATTTTATTATTTTGTTTATAAATAAATATATTTTTTTCAGTTTTGCAAAAATTGACCACGGTGCATTAGCCATTTTTGCAAAATTACATTCATTTCATAAACTCTCTAAAAATTAATTAGTCAAAAATGACTAATTTAATAGTTATTAGTGGCTGTTTTTTCACTTGTACCATGGTTAACCATGGAATACCATGGTATCCCAATTCTTATGTAAAATTGTCCCCTGAATTCGAAAATACCGTCAAAAATGATGAAAGTGGATCAGTTTTTGAGATATAGTCAATTCCATATTAAATGGAAAGTTGACTATATCTTAAAAACTGTTCTACTTTTTTAATTTTTAACGACATTTTCGGATTCAGGGAATAATTTTATATAACTTTACATGATTTTGAGATACCGTGGTATTCCATGGTTAACCATGGTACAAGTGAAAAAGCAGCCACTAATAACTATTAAATTAGTCATTTTGAGTAATTCATTTTTAGAGCTATTAAAGCAAAAAACTAAAAATTGACAAAATCTAGCTCCCTATCCATTCGTAAAGTAATTGTTAGTTTTTCTGCGTCCTTGTCGAACTGTGCGTTGCCCCTTTGCGGATCTACAGGGTGAGGCAAAGTGATGTCCAAATAAAAATTAGGCGTTGACAAAGTCAAACTTTGTTGCAAAATTTTTAAATCCATATTTTTCTGGTTTTCTCCTGGCAATTCTACCACTATTATCATGTCCTCGCAGCTTGATGATGACGGGGTTTTAAACCCCATCTAAAAATATTTTTTTTATTTGCAACCCTGTAAAATGTGATTGTGTACTTGTAGGAACACATCCGAGGCTGTAACTTGTTGTTTGTACGATAAATCCCATTTAGGAGTTTTCTTCCAATCAGCCTTATGTTTTTCCGACTCTAATACAACATTATCATCCAGCATTTCATCTGGATCCTTAACCTCTTTATTTTCTACAGGCTTGGGTGCAATTTTTTCATAAGGGTTAAATTTTTTTGCCTTGCTTTTATCTGTGTGTTTTTTTTCTTTTTTTGGCCTTCCCTCTGAAATTTTTTATTACATAATGTTATAAGTTAAGTAAATTATTTTACCTTCCGGATAACTCTGTTGATCATCATCAGACAAATCGCTGTCATTTTTTTGTAAATCAAAAAGTTCCACCAATTTTTCAATCTCACAAATATTTGAAGTCATTGTTGAAATATAGTTATGTCAGTTTCATAGCAGATTTTTCTACAAAATTGATTTAACAAAGTTGTTTCTTGGTTACAGAAATCGATGTTATAAAGGGTATCCCAAGAGGAACTAATCAACTAAGTTTTATAATCTGTGCTAATCAATAAAATATGACAGATAAAATATAATATAAATAACACTAGTTTACATTTTTATTTTAAACTTTCAATATTGAAATTAATTTATATATTGAATATTGTACAATAAATATTGAACATTGAAGATATTGAAAGTTTTATTTTGTTGTAATAAGCATTGGTTTAAAAAAAATTTGTCTCCTTCTTTGTTTTTTGGTTGCTTTTGTATTATGTTTTTTGTATGAGGGACCAAACGTAATCAGCCATCATGGCTGCATCCCAGAAGCCGTGATACCGCCGCTCCATAGCCTTCATTTGCTGGTGAAAACGTTCTCCGTGCTCATCACTTACGTCGCCCAGATTGTCCGGGTTATTTACGCACTCGAACTCTCTACTTCTTTTACTCATTTTACACTTTTTATTAACAAAATAAAACCATGATAAAAATGATGAAATATAAAAAAATAGCAGTATAATGTCACTATGCCAACACGAGAAACAAAAGAATTCACGTTTGCCGAGTCAAATCTAAATTTTAATAATGTTTTCGGTGAATAAAGTACGTAAAAACTCAAAAAATTCCAATCATGCACTTTAATTAGGTTTTCATTAAAGAATAAACATATTACAAAATAAAAGAAAAAAAATAAAATAAAGTCAAACTGGAGTTATCTGTTTGATATAAACCTTTCCCAAGACGATATGTAAATTTTCGACCTCAATTTTTGCCATAAAAACGAATTTTTAAGTTATTAAAATCGCTAGCGTCAAAATACTTATCCGATATCAAAAGTCTGTAAAAAAAAGTTTTAAAGGGCTTAAATACCTTCTTGTTTGACCTCTCAAAAACTCAAAAACGTCAAAACACGTCCAAAAAAAATTTTGTGTGATTTTCTTGTTTAGTGGGTCAAAATACATGGGAAAATTATAATGGGATATGGTGGGCAGAATTTTTTTTATATTTTGTAAAATAGTATAATATATGAGTAATAGTAATAATAATTAAATAAAATATTTTTTCAATGTAAACTGTATTACTTGTTTATATATTATCGACCTATATAGTTGCTTGTACAAATTAGAAAATTGTGCATATTCATGAGCATATCGTAATTTTAGGAATTTTATGTCTATTACCTACAAAATGGTTGAGTTAAATTGTTTGGGATTTTTTTCCGTTAGTCGTACTATGTTTAAACTTTAAAGTACTGTTCTACTGTTCAGAACCATAAAAAATCAAAATTGTTTCTTTGTGTGTAGGTGTTGGCTAATTTTTTGCTAATTATTTTTATGGTATTTTAATTTGCAAAAACCATTTAACCATTTAAAAGGCATAATAGGAATATTGAATTCAGACCAATTTATTTTAATTTAAAGAAACAATTTATTTATGTATGTAAATCATTGTAATTATAGTACACTTGACCTTCGTTTAAACTTACAAGTATTTTAAATTCAAAAGTTGGCAAAATTTTCTAAAAATCACCCTCCATAATCAGAACCTTCGCTACGCCCCTAAATGGGTCATTCACTTTATTTTATTTTATTTTAACTGCTTGTTAAAGTATAAAATAGTTAATTTTAACGAAGTACTGTCAACACAAACAATAAATTACGCAAAAATAAAAAGTGAAAGAAATTTATAGTTCCTGATCGGTTTACTGTGACTAATGTTGCTAATTGTAAGCCGAAGAAAATTTAATTGTCAATTTACGGATTTCAACATACATTAATATTATGAAATAACCATACTTTAATGTATACCTAATTATGTTAAATGCCCAAGAGTACATCAAAATTATTAGGTACTATAATTTTACGGACAAATTCATTAATCAATATCAAATATTTCAAAGAATCTAATCTATAATTTTAGACAACATTTGCTACCTATGTACTTCTATATTTCAATGAAAAATTTAATATTCTCAAAAGACAATGATAAACATTCGAATTTATAATAAAGCTCATGTTTTTGTACCTAAAGGTACATGCAAACACATACGTTTGTCCCATCAATAGTTCACCAAGCGTACCAAGTAGGTACCCAACATACACCGGCATGGTACAGAATATATAAATAAAGCAAGCCATGCGTGATGTCATGCTGTCATGGGTCTCACTCACAGAATCACAATTACCTTATTTTTCTCTCTTATTTCTCTCTGCCAGCCCACTCAGTTTGTAACATACCATTAAAGACACTGTGTCGTGCTTAAGTGACACTTTTTTTATCCAATTCGATTGTGATTTGTTTCCATGAAAGTTTTGTTTTTGATGTAATAAAAAATGCTTTTGGCAACTTGCCCGTCAAGAAGGACCATGAAATTGTGTGATAGTGTGGTGAAATTTCCCAAAATTATGGAGCAAAAATGTGAGCAAATTGAGTTGGATTCGCTGGAGGAGTACGATTTTTCGGATGATGACGAAGTAAGCGTTTTCCCAAATTATATTTGTATGCGAGTTTATAGAAATAATACTTTTAATACATTTTTACCAGATAAAATATCAACAAGCTAGAATTAAGACAAGCTAAAATTATCACAAGTGACGACAAGATAAATTGATGACAAGCTAAAATTATAACAAGCCAAAATGACAACAACCTAAAATATGACAAGTTGAGCTAAAATGACAATAATCTTAAATGAAGACAAGCTAAAATTGCCGCATATTAGAATGGTGACAATAAAAAATAACAAGCTTTGAAGCTCAATAAGAAGCTTAAAAAAAGATAAAATAAAGATTAGTTGAATGAATACAAGCTAAAATTAAAACAAACTTAAATTAATAGTTAAAATGACGACAAGCTAAAATGAATACAAGCTAAAATAAATTGATGACAAGCTGAAACTGCCACAAGCTAGAATAATATCCAGTTAAAATGACGACAGGTTTAAAATGACAATAAGATAAAATGAAAAGTTAAAATGATGACAAACTAAAACAGCTACAAGCTAGAATGATGACAAGCTAGAATGATGAGAAGCTAGAATGATGACAAGCTAAAATTACAACAAGCTTAAATGAAGACAAGCTTTAATGACGAAAAACTAAAATAATAAGATGCTTAAAAGATAAAAAGATAAAATAAAGATTAGTTGAATAAATACAAGCTAAACTGAAATGAAATTAATATTTAAAACGACAAGCTTGAATGACAATAAGCCTTTATAGAGAAGCTAAAATGACCACGTTTAAATAAAATGTTAAAATAAAGACAAGCTAAACTGAAAATCTAAAATGAAGACAAGCTGAAACGGCTACAAGCTAGAATGATGGCCACCTAAAATGAAGTCAAGCTTAAAACGAATAAGCTTAAAATGACAATATGCTAAAATGAATAGAAGCTTAAATCAAAAGCTAAAATGATGACAAGCTGAAACGGCAACAAGCTAGAATTATATTCACCTAAAATGACGACAAACTTAAAATGACAATAAGCTAAAATGAATACAAGCTAAAATGAAAAGTTAAAATGATGACAAACTGAAACAGCTACAAGCTAGAATGATGACAAGCTAAAATTACGACAAGCTTAAATGAATACAATCTAAAATGAAAACAAGCTTAAATTAATAGTTAAAACAAGCTAAAATGAGAATAAGCCTTAATAAAGACAAGCTAAAATTACCGCAAGTTTAAATAAAAAGTTAAAATAAAGACAAGCTAATCTAAATAGTTAAAATTATGACCAGCTAAAATGACGACAAGCTTAAAATGACAATAAGCTAAAATGAATACAATCTTAAATGAAAAGTTAAAATGCTGAAACACCTACAAGCTAAAATGATGACGAGGTAAAATGACGATAAGCTTAAATGAAGACAAGCTTAAATGATTACAAACTAAAATAATAAAAAGCTTAAAAGATGACAAGATAAAATAAAGATTAATTGAATGAATACAAGCTAAAATGAAAACAAGCTTAAAATAATAGTATAAGCTATAATGAAAATAAGCCTTCATAAAGACAAGTTTAAATAAAAATTTAAAATAGGGACAAGCTAAAATGATGACAACCTGAAACGGCTACAAGCTATAGCTTTCTATAGAATAATATATATATCCATAAAATGACGACCATCTTAAAATGAAAATAGGCCAAAATGAATACAAGCTAAAATAAAGTGGTAAAATAATGACAAGCTGAAACAGCTTCCTAAAATAATGACAAGCTAAAATGACGACAAGCTAAAATGACAATAAGCCTTAATAAAGAAAAGCTAAAATTTCTACAAGTTTATAAAGACTAAATGGCTAAAATGACAATAAGTTAAAATGAATACAAGCTAAAATGAAAAGTAAATTTTATGTATACAGGGTGTGCCAAAAGTAATGGTAAATACTTTAACAGCATATTCTTAAAAAAGTATTGAGGTTAGTTTAATTTTTTTAGTCCAGAAGTCAACGGTAACCAATATACAGGGTGGTAAAGTTGATTCTATTTTTTTAATTTTCGCCATAAATTTAGCAATTATTAGTCATTTTGGGTAAAACTTGGTAGGTATGTTGTGGTTTTTTGGTATAACAAATTTAAATATTTAACTCATTTAACATATCTCGTAGAGGGCGCCACAAATATTGACAGTGACAGTGACGTTTGTGATTTATCTGGACAGACAAAGCCTTCTTGATGCAGAATTTAACTTTTAGTTTAGTTTTAAAATAACTTATACTTGCTAAATTTTATACCAAAATTTAAAAAAAATAGAATTAACTTTACCCTGTAACTTGGTTACCGTTGACTTTTGTACTAAGAAAATTTGACTCAATCTCAATATTTTTTTTTGAAGAATATGCTGTTAAATTATTTACCATTACTTATGGGACACCCTGTATATGTTTAAAACTGGAACGATGAAATAGTTTATTTGTAATTTTTTTAGACTATAGTGTTATATAAGGGAAGTAGTAATTTAATTAATCCTATTAACTAACAATGGGGCATTTTGTTAGACCGAGAGAGTCAATAAAAACGAAAGTGGTTACAATTTGTTTACATCCTAACCTCACGGTTGAATGAATTTTTAGGTTCACTTGAATCTTCACAATACACTGTATTGTAGTAGGTAAACATAATTTTTGTATTTCCCTTTTTAGGACTTGGAATTGAAAAATGAAAATCCACCTTTAAAAGAATTGAACCTGAATGGTATTTGCAAGAATAGAAAAGACATAGGAGGGGATTGTTACGTGGAAGAAATTATACTTCCAGGGGATTCCCTCAGGACTTTATCGGATCTAAAAGTCCTCAGTTTAAGGTCCAACAACATCGCCAACTTCCCCAACAGTGTTCTCAACTTGAAAACACTAATAAAACTGGATGTATCAGATAACTGTCTACTCACTCTTCCAATTGAGATAAATCAGCTGAAAAAGTAAGTATCTTAGAGCATACAATACATGGATATAACCTTAAAGTATATACTATATGGATATGTTAGTATCTGGGTTTTGGGAACCAATAAAACATTCTTCTTTAGAACAAAAAAATCCAATGCCATTTTTCACCAGATAAAAGTATGTATAGGTAATATTTCACGATGTAATCATAAAGCCAGCAAACCCATAATTTAAAGTCGATATATTCCCGATTGTTCGGTAACGAAATAGTTGCGAAACGGCGAGAAACAAAAGATGGATGGCCGGTGGCACTAGAAACATAGAAACTGCGATGAATGAACTTCCGTTGTTTTTGACACGGTTCCTTGATCGTGTGAGACGGGCATAATTAAAGATCTGCAGGGCAGGGCCCTGATATCAGATACTTGTGCGTTACAGTATGAGTGTTACTTGATTTGATCGTTTGTTTTGTGTTTGGGTAATTTGAGGTGACTTAATTGGTGCTGTGAGGGCGACGATGTGTTAACAAAAGCTTTTAATTGGACAATTATAAAATAATTTTTACCTTTAAGCGTTCTATATTTTAAACTATAATAATTATTGTCAACACCCAAGACTAAAGTGATTCATTAGCGCCTAGTCTATAACAACCCGTTTGGACCAATAAAAAAATTCGACTACTGTCAGATCAACCTAACCTCACTTTCTACTTTTAATAATTATAACTATAATTCTATGTTTTGTGTTTTATAGCATTTTAAATAAACATTGTTGACAAGTTGTGGCTTTATGGAGCTTTAGTCACGGGCTGAAGTTAGTTTTAAGATAGTTGACAGTTGTCAAATGTCCTACAATCGTTAAAATAAAGTGCCTTTTGGCCTTCAAACTTTTGGTCAGCACAAGAAGACTTTTGACATAAATAACTATTAATTTGTATCGATAAGAAAATAATATCTTCAAAAATATTTAAAAAAATCTTTTTGGATAAGTATTTTGAAATTCAAAAAGTGTGTATTAAGTTTTTAAATAAGTTACAACATTCTTAAATATGTTTTTGACATTGTATAATATGCTTTGGCATTCCTAAATAAGTTTTGACATTTATAAATACGTTTGACATCCTAAAATCTTATTTTTATATTGAATATTGCTAGTATATTATTCTTAAATGGTAATCGCATTTTCAAATTTGCTTATCATTTTAAAATACGTTTTAACATTCTAAACTGTCTAAATAGGTCTTGTGTTTGTTTTGCCATTCTTAATAGCATATTTTGTATCAAGTTTGATACACGCCATTTAGTCACAAATTAGGCACGAGCGAGCCAGCGAGCGTGTGTTTTATTAAATAAGTGGATAGAAAAGTTTATAAACGAGTTGCATACTATACTTTTCATACGACTTATTATTACATAAAAATGATTTAAATTAAATATTTGAATATAGTGACATCTATCAAACAATAGAGTAACCCTGAAAATGGACTAACCACTAAATCCGATATAAAAGCAGTTTTTCACAGTAAAAGTAAAGTACAATGTGCAAACTATTTATTACTTTTGTATTTTTGTATTGAAATAATAAAATAATTTTTACATTAAGTATTATTTTACAAAAAAGGCACTTTATTTTAACGATTGTATGACATGACAACTTAAAACTAACTTCAGCCAGTGATTAAAATTACATAAAGCCCTTTTGGTAAAATAATACTTAATGAGAAACCTTAAACTTTAATTTGTGAAGACTTTGTATAAGCTAAGTAATAAAACTGGGCGAATATGTAGTAAGTGTATTAGCTAAATAAATGACAGAACGTTTTTGCAAAATCTTTGCTAGAATTTATACAATTTGCTTTAAACAATTGATTTTTTTTCCAAATTTGACCTTACTTTTTGAGCATCCTGTATTAAATTTTATTCCAAAATTATCACCAAATTCAGAAACGCTATCTGTTTTTAAATTTTAAAAAATGTCCAGTAACTTTTGACCTTTTTGGGTACCTCCTATTTATCATAGAGGGCCATGCAAATTACATGTCAGTGTTTTTTTATTCAAAAGTTAGAGCTATTTGAGTACTACAAACTAAATAAATACCGAATAGTCGATAAAAATAAGAAAAAAATCCTATAAACATAGGTTGAGAAATGCTTTTTAAGGGAGCTACAGCCTCCGAAAGAGGAGTCCCTGAAGATGGTTTTTATTTGAAATTATTTGAAATTTTGGGAATTGATCAAACTTTTTATGGCCAAGATGTAATAGTAACAATTTCAAATTCAGATAGATATTCAATTTGATCAATTCTTAAAATGTCATTTTTTATCTTGAAAGGTTTTGGAAATATTAAATAAAACCATCATTAAACTCTCTAGCTTCCTTAGGAAGCATTTCTCGACATATGTTTATATGAACTTTTTTTCTATTTTTGTAGGTAGTGTATCTGCTGTATTGCACGCTTATTATGGGACACCCTGTATATTACTTTAATTAGGATTAATAGAGAGACCAATAAGTTAAACCAAGTACATTTTATTAGCAAAAAAGGTTCCAGCAAATTTTGTCATAAAATTATGGTAACATTTTAAGAAGAATTTTTTATAAAAGTTTCTTAATATACGAGGTGTGTTCAGAAAATAACGGGAATTGTTAAATTTCGCGGGTTCGGAGGGTCCGGTTGTCATAAAATTTTCTTTATTATGTTGGTATACATGCCCCCGAAGTATGATAAAAACTTTAGCTGTTTTCATTGTTTACTTTGTCTGTTGCAGCCGCTAAGGTTAGACTTGTTTTATGAGCTCGGCGATTTTTCGTTCGTTAAAAGAAATGGATCAAAGAATTTGTATCCAATTTTGCTTAAAATATGAAATAAATTCTGTGAAATGTTAACAAAGGCCTATAGTGAGTCTGCTATAAGTAAAACAAGAGTTTACAAGTGGTATAACGCCCCAAACGCACAAGCACATTAACAACCGATAAAAACATGAAAAAAGTGGAAGAAATGGTTATAAACCATCAGAGAAGTCGCTGATGATGTTGGTATATGGATTGGCTCATCCCATGAAATTTTTTCAAATGTTTTGGCTATGAAACGCGTGGCAGCAAAATTTGTTCTAAAATTATTAAATTTTGAACAACATTTTTAACCAAAAACAATACTGTAATGATGCCCCAGCCTCCATATTCGCCAGACATATCTCTGTCTGTCTTTTTCCTATTCCCAAAAATGAATGACATTAAAAGCGCATCGCTGAAAGAACTAAAGGCTATCCCAAAGATCCAGTTTTAGAAGTGTTTCGAGTATTGGAAGAAGAGCTGGCACATGTGCATAATATCCAATGGGGACTATTTTGAAGGCGACAACCTTAATGTAGACGAATAAATAAATATTTGTTTCAAAAAACAAAAACTTTTATGAAAAATTCTCCTTAAAATTCTAAATTTTACAAAAAGACCCAAATATTTCTCCTTGTTTATACCCGTCCGTCCCTGTTCACACAAGATCCTGCCCAACCAACCATTACCAAGCAAAGGCGCGTGCCATACCACTTTGTATCCAGTCTCGCGATTCAACCTACCAATGAACCCGACAAACAACACCTAAACCATCAAAACAACCAATCACCCAAACAAATTCACTTATTTAAATTTTCGTGTGCCCTTTTGTTATTAAAATGTCAGTGTTCAACGGTCGTCCTTGCTAGTGTCCCGCTTGTGCATCCGTTAACGCGAAACTTTCGTTTTCTGTTCGCAGTTTGCAAGAACTTAATTTGGACCAGAACTTGCTAAGTTTGCTGCCTGGGACTCTATGGGACCTCAAACTACTCCAAGTACTCAAAGTGGCTGACAACAGATTGGCAGTTCCTCCAGATAAGGGACCCAAGATGAGGGCTTTAATATTAACGGTGAGTTTTGAAATTTTTTTGTGATTTTTTGCACTAGTGCGTACAGCATGTATTAACTGAAACAAAACTTTTTGGACTATTTGTATAGTATTATAATTATTATTTATATTGTTCTTAAAGTCAAATTTGAACAGTTTTAATAATTTTTGTTTTTACGTAAGTTTTTAATAAAAATAAATATAGGTACACGTTTTAATAGAAATCTCTAAAAAGTATAATTCATTTACTTCGACTCATTGAATTGTGGTTTCTCTACTTAGCATAATTTGAACTGTAACAGGTAACAATTATTTCGTAATTTAAAATAAAATATATAATTTTCAAGATTTTTAATTTAAAAAGTTCATTCACCTGATTTTATCAATTTCTTATTAATACAAATTTTTTTAATGTATACTTGGTAATTATTGATAATAATTATTATAAAAATATTGATCTACTACTACATTGACGAGCTGTGACTTTATGGCGTCACGGGATGAAGTTATCAATAGTGGTTTTGGGCATTTTAGTCACGGACTGAAGTTAGCTTTATTATAAATTGGGAAAAAGTGAGGTTAAATCCCTTGACATTTGACAAATGTCAAATGTTCAACAAATAAAATTGGCTTTGTTTTCATCGTAGATAAAATATAGTATGCAACTCGTTTTATAAACTTCTCTTGACACTCGTTTTTATTAAACACTCGCTTGCAAGCTTCGCTCGTGCCTAATAAAACTCGTAACTAAAATAACGTTTATAAAACTTGATACATAAAATTCTATCAATAGTGGCTTTTGGGCATTTTAGTCACGGACTGAAGTTGGCTTTATTATAAATTGGGAAAAAGTGAGGTTAAATCCGTTGACATTAGACAGATGTCAAATTTTCAAGAAATAAAATTGGCTTTAAATTCTGCTTTATGTTCATCGTAGATAAAATATAGTATGCAACTCGTTTTATAAACTATATATAAACATATATTTTTCGAATTTCTTGCAAAAATGGTGGATGCGCCGTTTTGTTTTAAAGTATAATTTCTAATTTTTTTGTCTAAAATTTATGCATTTTTTTTTTTTTTTTATTAAAATCACAAAATACATAAAAATTTTAATGTTTATTTATAAAAACACATTTTATTACTTCTCTTTGTTGGTGTTAACACTTTTATGAAAACAAACTTATTCGTAGGATATCCTATAATTTTTGCAATACTTAAAACAATAACAATGTTTTATATTACACGAAATTTCCTGCCACAAATTAAATAAAAACTGTACCTACCTACTATTAATTTTATCTTTGATATTAAAACAAAGAACTTCAAGGATTATTATAATGTACAGGGTGATCCCCTTTAATGTCGCCCCCTTTAACTTTTTTATTTTTTATTTTTTTCTCCCAAGTTTGGTTTTATAGATACAGAAAAAAATTGAAAAATTGATCAGTATACAGGAAAAAACAAAAAGTTTATTTTTTCCCAATGGATTACCCTATATATGAATTTATTTTTTAAACCTTGTGAAATTCAAAGCATAGTTCATATAAACTTAAACACTTAAAATAACAAAGTTAAAGGGGGCGACATTATAGGGGGTCACCTAGTACAAAGCCTTTCTTAAATATTAAATTAAATTTCTTATTTAAATAATATTAATGGTTTGCTCCTGGTACAGAGTCTAATTTACCGTTTTTAATGTTAAATATATAATACAGTTTTTATTTACTATTTAACATTTTTCGTAATCTGATTGTTATTTAATTTCCAAAATTAATTATTTCACGCACTACATACGAAGTCCTAATTTCTTTTCACATGATTTATAAGTGTTTAAAATGTAATGTTATATAATGGTTTTATTTTGTTTATTACAGGAGGATTATAAGCCTGAGAATGAGCAAAATGTAAATGGGTTGAAAACTTTGAACCTAAGATCGAATAGGCTTAAGGGGAATATTATACTGGGGAATTATGGGGTAAGAAGACACACCCTGTATAGTAAATATTGCACGGAAACTGGACTGTACGTACCTTTCCGGTTTAATTGCGTTGAATTTGAATAGGACCTCAATTGGTACAAAACCAAGTTATTGGACCGATGAATTGAATTTTTGTCAAAAACTGCGGAATAGTACCTATAGTCTGGTTTCTATTTTAAAATTTTGTCGCTCTGTTATTATTGCATATATTTTAGAACCTAACTGAGTTGGATGTGAGTGAAAACAGCATAGAAAATCTAGACCTGAGTGCGGTGGAGCAGCTTCAAATTCTGCAGTGTTCTAGAAATTCTCTAACGCATTTGACACTCCACGGGAAAAATTTAATATCTATAATAGCTGGAAATAATAGTAAGGCACTATATGTTTTCAATCCACTCTTTATATTACCTTTTTTTTAATTATAGGACTGAAAAAACTCACTGTATCTCACCCACCATTGGATCTCAAACACATCGATGTCTCTTACAACGAGTTAGAATCTCTACCAGAGTGGTTGTCGGGTTGTAGCGAGTTAAGATCGTTATTTGCAAGTAATAACATGCTTACAACTTTACCCGATCATTTGTTTTGCAATGAAATGCCCTATCTGCAAACCTTACAGCTAGCTTACAACCACTTGCAATATCTGCCAACAATACAAAGACGATTGCTGATACAGGACTTGTTCTTGCAGAACAACAGTTTGTCTAGTTTGCCGGACAATTTTTTTAAGTTTGTTAGAAATATCAAAGTGCTAAATCTCTCGAATAACAGACTGTGTGATTTACCAAAACCTGATGATGTCTTGCAGCTGGAGAAGTTGTTTATAACAGCTAACTGTTTGATTGATAAATCCTTGGAAAGAATAGCACCATATTTAAGAAGTTTGAGAATATTACATGCCGCTTATAATAGCTTCACAGGTTTGCCTGAGCAGTGCGCTCTGTATTGGACGGAGTTGGAAGAGCTTGTTGTATCGGGTAACAAACTTTTAAAGTTGCCAAAAAACATAGAGAAGCTCAGACATTTATCTGTGCTTAGGGTGCATTCAAATCTATTACAAACCATACCAAAACTATCCAACTTGCATTCCTTAAGAGTTTTGGACTTAGCCCACAATCAGTTGGATCGCATAGACTTATCGTCGCTGATACCGCCGAACTTAAAGTTCTTGGATTTGTCTTGCAATATGAAGCTCCACGTTGACTCGCAACAGTTCAATAATTATAGAACCCAACGCCCGATGTCGTTGGTTGATGTTTCCGGTAAGAACCGCACTAGTCTACCGCTAGTACCGTCACCGTTTTGCGAGAGCGATCTGACCGAACAAAGTTGGTCGGTAGGTTTTTCCGAAACAGCAGGTTGCAAGCAAAGGTTGTACATATCGCAAATTAGGCTTCCCGCTTTTTGCAATACCGAAGCACTTTTTGGCATGTTCGATGGGGAAAACAACAGTGATATCCCTGTAGGTGTGGATAAAGTCGTACCGAGGATATTATTGGAGGAAAGGACTGTCAAAGAGACAGCTCATGAGTACATGAAGTACACAATGCTATCAGCACATAGAGAGCTACGCGATAAAGGCCAGAAGCAAGGTTTGAACGCTATAATCATCCACGTGATGAACCTCAAACAACAAGACTACTCTTACTGCAACTCTCTCAAAAAGTACGTGATGAAAATAGCAAGCGTGGGTGATGTGAGGGTCGTGCTTGGTAAAGCCTCAGGTCCTGTAAGATTACTACCGGTGAAACAACGCAGATCTACAAGGACGACTCCGCAAATACAGTTGATGGTGCCAGATCCTGAGGTAACGGAGATTTATCTGGACGAGCAGGATGAGTACATGATCATAGCCAATAGGAACTTATGGGATGTTATAAGCCCTGAGAACGCCATAAAAGAGGTGAGTTTGCAGCGGAATGTTATACTTGCTGCTAAAAGACTACAAGATCTCTCCCAGAGCTACGGCGCCGAAGATAACCTTAGTATTATCGTGGTTAAGTTCAACCTGGGCAACGATGTGGATTTATTGATGAGGGAGTTAAGGCAGACCATAAAAAGGAATAAATATCAAAGTGAAAGTGGTAACTCCACATCCACGTATCAAGCGGGTTGCTGTTGCGAGGCACTAAACAGCGAATGCATCAGTTGTATGGCAAAAATACCCATACCGCCCCCCATGATGATGCATGACGATAGATCGTCACCTAGCGGGCAGAGTGAGCACTGCAGCGAATGCAACTCGTCCGCTAAACTCTTCATCAACCAGCTCAACAAGCAGAACGAGAACAGATCGATGAGAAGCATAACCCCGTCTATTTTCGAAACAAACGGTTCGAAAATCAATCCCGAACGTAGGAGTTACAGAGGGGTGGCCAAAGCCTTGAGAGCTAGAAGGGAGGAGGAAAAGAACAGGGACGATTCCGATTCAGCCCTATCTGAAGAACAGTTCAAATGTTGGGAGTACATGCTGGAGCAAAATACGCAACTATTGTTCGACAAAGAGTTGAACACTCTATCTAGAGGTATGAAGAAGCCTCAGTTCTCGATAAAAAACCTACCGATATCGAGAAGTTCGCCTCATTTATCCGACACAAACAATAATTCTCCAAACAACAATCAAGGTGCGTTTCTATCAAAACAGTTTGGTAGCACGAGGTCTTTTAACCCCATTCTATCCCGAGGGGGTTCGAAATTTTCTCTGGATAAAAAACAGCTATTAGGAGGTCCACACGCAGCCTATTTTGGAAGTCTACAGAGGTTGATGCCGTATAACCTAGAGTATGATTTTGCTGTAATGCACGAGCGAGGCTTGGCGGATTCGTTGGACTTGGACAGAATGCAGCAATATTGGGGTGTTACAACTACAGAGTTGTAGATAGTGCGATAGTCGTTTTCCCTACCGAAAAATATGCATTTATTTTTTTAGGACCTAGAGTAAATAGATATATGTGTTTCTTAATCAAGAAAGGGTGCCTTTTTAAAATTTTGAAATGTGTAGAAAATAAGAATTTCACCAGTCACCTATAGGTTGTCAGTTTTATCGTGTATACCATCTTGTTAAGAAATATACTACTAAAAAATAACACTGGTTGACAGCAATTTTGTCACATGATGGCCAACAACTTTTACAGGGTAATTTGAATGCGCTGATTCAAAAAATCTTTTTTCTTAATTAGCTCTTGTTTTAAAGATATTGCAAAAATAAACAGTTTTCTTTGACAAGAGCCCACTTAAATTCAGTTTAAAAATGTTTTCCCTTGAAATTTGTACCACCCTGTGGGATGTATCAGCAATAACAGTAATAACAGTGAAAGTTGTCAAAGGTTATCAAATGTTATGTGTCTAATGCGAATACTTTATCGGAGGCTTTGACTTTAAAACAGTGCATCTTCGATAATAAAAGAGAATATAACGTAAAAAAAAGAAGAAAAAAAAGACAGGACTACAGAATGATTTTAATGTTATTGCTGTTATTGTATTGCTGATGCACTCAACAGAGTTACTTATTTCAGGAAAAAAACTTACTTTTGTATAATAGGTATATACAGGGTGTAATTAATGTTATATATTAAAATGGGTTGTTCCTTAGGTTCCATAAAGACGCACCTGAAACTTTTTTTTTCTAAATTCCAAAGTCTAAAAATAATTTATAATAACCTTTATCCTACCAAAAAGTACGCCACTGATCGACTAGGAACTTTAGGTTAATCTGGTGGATTTATTATGTTATGGTTGGTAACAGTGTTTCCAAAATCTCTCAAAAAAGTTGACAAACATTGTTTAAATTTAGCTTAATTACAAAAATGACAAAATTAACAATGCAAATTGTCAATTTGGCGTTTTTATTAATTGTTGGTTATTTCATTTTTGTACTGAAGGTAAATTCAAACAAAATCTGCCAACTTTTATGACAGAATCTAGTGCATTTCATTTAAATTTTAGGTTATGTTTTCAAATTGTAAATATCTTAACTAAGGGAAGTGCTTTTGGATTTATTTACACAAATTAAATGTTTAAAGTTTAACCTGTGAACTGGTCCCAATTTCATCTGAGTAAACAGAGAAAAAAACTGATGAAAAAATTAATTTTGTGGTTATGGATTTCAAATTTCAAAGGTACTAAATTTTCTAATCATTGCTTAAGCTAATAGCTGGATCAGTAAATAAATACAGAAGGGTATTAGAGCTTTAAGGGCATAAAACTTTTGTATTTATTGAGTTTTTATTTATTTTTTGCAAGAAAAATTTTTAGTAACAATTTTTTACATCTGGCAACGCATAGCTACTTTGTTGGTTGGTATCTATGTACTCACAAAATACAGGTGTGCAGAGATAAACAAGTGTGTAACCAGTGGCGTATCACAAAAAATATAAAAAACTTCTAATGCATATTTTTTCTTTATCTTTGGAAAAATGTTTTTTAAAATATTTTTCCTTTATTCCTTATGTCAAAAGGTATTCAGTATTTTAATATATAACATTAATTATATAACACCCTGTATATGCTTAAATTAAAATCTGAATAAAAATGTTTACCATAGCATCGAAATTAGATAATCGATTTCCGAGGATATTAAAATTAAAATTCTTTAAAAAAATATTTTAAATAAAATCCAGGTTTAACTGGAAGTGACATCAACTACATTTTTAAATTCTGTGTAAAATTCTGAGTAAAATTATAATACCAGGTCCCATACCTAAAGTAAATACTTTTCGAGTTATTAATATTTTTTTCGTTAAAATTTGACAAATGAGCATCAATCATAAAAAGCCTATAATAATAATTTTTTGTAGTAATTTGTCCATTTTGAATCAGTTCAAAAGTCTGCTAAATTCAAATTATTAGTATATCTTCTTTTATCAATGAATTCAGCCCTAATTGTTTGTTTATTTTGACGTTTTTACCTGAAGATGGTCTAAATACCGAAACTAGTACACCTTCAAAATATAATTTTTTTGTTATTAGGTTTGCAGATATGGCGGTGGAATCTTAAATCATTGTAAAAGATTTCATGTCAATTCTTTTACATTTTTCAACAAATTACCTAAGAACACCCAGGGCAAATTAGGCTAACTTAAAGGTTAATAACTTTTTTATTTTAACTGTATCACCCGGTATATTTTTACTTAATCAAATGGTAAATTAAAAAACCTTTCGATTGATGTTACTATTCCCTATACCTAAAGTTAATAATTTTAGAGATATTTAACAATTTCTAAAATTTTAAATATTATTTTGTATGAAGAAACCTATGACGGGTAGGTTGACGGTATGGTTACCACGTAATCTGCATATGGTGTATGTATCTTGCGTAATCCGTCATTGTTCAAAATTAAATGGCGTCAATTTTTTAGGTTGTTATAAACAATTTGTTGAATAATTAAGTTTTTATGAACAAAATTACTAATAAAAAATAGCAAACATTAACAAGCATTATTTAAAAATTTAAACGTTATACTTGTATGTAACTGTATTTGCTAATTTTAGAAAAAAACACAACAAAGTTGTAGGATCTCAACTAGATAAAGCACTAGCTCATTGGAGACAATATTTTAACTTCTAATTTATTACTAAATGTTTAAAATGTCCTCCATTTACATTCAAGCATTTCTTAATTCTTACTTCTACATTAGACGTTGCCCTTTTTGACTAAAATATTGTTGGTTTATTAAATTGTTACAGTTATCTACGCATTCTTTTTGTTATCATAATATTTTTTTAATTAGATTTTATAGTTTATTGTCTAAAATGAGCTACTTAGTGCTCTAGTCTAGTCTAGTCCAGTTGACATCCTACAGCTTTGTTGATTTTTTTTCTAAATTAGAAAATACTGTTTGTATTACTTTTAAATTTTAAAAATGTTTAGCTTGTCTATTTATTATTCAATTTTTAATAGTAATTTTGTTTACAAAAAACGTGTGTTAAAGAATTAAGAAGTAATATTTTAAACAATGTTTTAAGATTGCAAAAATTTCACCCCCATATTCGCAAACCTAATAACAAAAGAGATAAGCTATTTTTGATTGACGCGCATTTCTCAAATTTCGCAAAAAAATATCTCGAAAACTATTTAAATTAGGTATTGGACATGGTATAGTAATTTTACTTATACACTGAAAGAAATATATACTAAAGTTAAATAAAAAAATAATTAGGGCAAATATATTTTATGTTTCATATATAGACTACCACATACATTGCTAAAACAAATATATTCGTTTGGTTAGCAGCCTATTGCTGCCCTAGCAATATAAATGGTGTTTCTAGCAATATTTTTTTGCTGTAATTCACTTATAGTTTACATTTTATAGTAAGGGTAAGTTTATTTTTATTTAGATCTAACATATCTTCTTTACAATAAATGTATTACAAAATTTACCATACATTCATAATAAACAGTAGTATAAATGTGTAAAGCACTAGTATAAAATTTTTAGTATAAATTTGTATTTACTTTTAGCAACAAATTTCTTTCAGTGTAATTTAATACAAAATTTAAAAATGTAAAAATATATGGGGTGTTTTATATGAAATAACAAAGTTGATGTCAATTCCGGTTAAACCGGTAGTAGCATTTAGTTCCAAATATTTTAGAAAAATAGACGTTTTTTAAATTTCAAATATCTTCCCCAGAAACTTCTAATTGACCATGAATGTGAAACACCCAGTATACGAAAAACGGTTTTTTTTTACATTATCGTACCCAAATTACCCTGGCAATATTACATATTATATTTTGTAAAATAGTTATTTAAATTCTGTAGTAGATAGAATAACCCATATAAATGGACTAACAATTTTTGACACCCTCTCCCCAAATTCTCTGGATATGTGCCCATAGAACAAAGTTTCTGATTTTGTTGATAATTTTACCTAAAAAAACATATGCAAATTTTCCGAGAAATACACGGAAAACTTTTCCGGGAAAAGTGACTACAGCTTTATATTTTGTAAATAGTTGAATAAACATATTTTTATAGAGCCCACTGTTTTCTTTCCTCAATAAAATGCAAAGTTAAAGTTATATCCGAACTAAATTGATGTTTGGCCATTGTAAAGTCTAATCTGTTCCAATAAAATATTAATATTTCGGTATTGTTTGCGAAATTTACCTCCGGTTCATTCACCAAGATAATCGTTTCAAATAAATTTTAACAAGATTATGTTTCTCACCTACCTGCTCAAAATTTAATTGGATTAGTTTGGAGTTAATCTGGACAAATTAAAAATCCGATTTAATCTTGTTAAGGAGAACAATTGGTGATTGTTTGATTTGTCACGCCAGTGGTGTAGCGCCGGGGTTTTGTCATTTAAATCCCCCCTTTCACAACTTTGTTATACAAGTGTATGAGCCTGTAGAATCAAAAGCGGACGTCCTTTGCCGTGCTAAGCGCACTATACTGTGGTAAATTACTGTATTAAATACAGTGGTTACCTATCCGCTTTTGATTTTACAGGACTTATAATAGGTGGTTTTACAAACTTGTTTAAATAGCATTATAATTTTGTTTTATTTAATAAGTTTATTTTAAAAAAGTATAATTTAATTTTTTTTAAATGTACAGGGTATACGGAAAATGGCGGACCAACGGTTATATACCCTACAATACCACGTTGTTGGGGGGATTATTTAGTATAATAAGTATAAAAAATTACAAGTAAAGTTAATTTTTTTTATCTGGACTGCGACAACGTTGCAAATTTAGGGTTTTGGTTGGTAAATACAGTTGTCAAGTTGGTCGCATTGATTAAAACAAACTAAGCTAGTTATAAATCTAATTGTGGTTATGTATAAATTATTGTAGGTTACATTGTGCAGTTGTCAAGTTGAGTTGTCGAAATTCTTAGTTAAAAATGCAATTAATTTGGCTTTGATGGTGCTTGGATGAGTAAAATCATATAAAAAAGTAGTTAAATATAGGTTGCTTTACGGCCCAGAAGAAAAAGTATTCCTAGCGGATAATAATCTTCGCTTTGAAAAGAATTTATATAAAAGAAATTAAAATTTTTTGTGAACGTTAATGTTGTCCAATGGTGAATAATTTGAAAATAAGGTGTAATATTTATAAAACCAAATTCGTTACTTTTTTACTCCAAAAATGTCCATAAGGCGATGTACTTTTTCTTCTATTGTGGCATTTGGCATAATTTCATCAAAATGAAGTTTTGCCCTCAAAAGGGCTTTTACATTCGAATTCGTTGCTATTA